CATTTGTTAGACTTTAGGAAAGCTTTAAAAACATGGTTTCTCCCTTCCCCTGTATTGGGTCAGGATCCTAGATGACATCATCTTTGCTATTGTTGGTTTTAAGGTTAAATTTGGCTTCTACTTGTGAATTGGATTAAAACTTCTAAAACTGTAGGATTAGAATACTCGCCAGTCAAGCCAAAGGGAATTACATTGTATTGAAATCTACAGCTTCTTGGCAGTTTTTAGGATCCTGCACCTGGGTCTGCAGATTAAGATTCAAGCCAGGCTTCATAATCTTTTACCAGCTGTTCAGCTTGTACCAGAACAAAATAGGCATGTTTGGTCACTGCAGAACTGCTCGTTCTTCTGACACAACGTTTCAAAACCTTTAATGAAATCATGGTTAACAGTCCAGTAAACGGTGCCTTTCCTATATAACATAGAAGATCACCCTTCATAAAAATTACCTAATATGGGTTTATAGTGAGAACCAAAAAGGAACGAATTCTTTATAGATAAACAGAAATAACTTTTTCTTTTAAAAAAAAACCAAACTTTTTCTAGGTTCTACCATATCTCATGACCTAAAATGGACACCCAACATAAAAAACGTCATCAAAAAAGCACAACAAAGAATGTTCTTTCTGTGCCAACTCAGAAAGCTCAAACTGCACAAAGAGCTGCTGATATAGGTCTACAGAGGAATTATTGAGTCTGTCATCTGAACCTCCATAACTGTCTGGTTTGGTTCTGCAACCCACCAAGACAGACACAGACTTCAATGGATAATTAGAACTGCAGAAAAAACAATTACTACCAACCTGCCTTCCATTGAAGCCCTGTATACTGCACGAGTCAAAAAGAGGGCTGTGAAAATATTTACAGATCCCTCGCATCCTGGACATAAACTGTTTCAACTCCTACCCTCAAAACAACGCTATAGGGCACTGCACACCAGAACAACTAGACACAAGAAGAGTTTTTTCCCAAACGCCATCACTCTGCTAAGCAAATAATTCCCTCAACACTTTCAAACTAGTTACTAAGTCTGCATTACTATTAATCTTCTCGTTCCTATCACCCATATCCTCCCACTTATGACTGTATGACTGTAACCTTGTTGCTGGTATCCTTAAGATTTATATTGACTGTTTCCCTATGACTATCATTAAGTGTTGTACCTTATGATTCTTGATGAATGTATCTTTTCTTTTATGTACTCTGAGAGCATATGCACCAAGACAAATTCCTTGTGTGTCCAATCACACTTGACCAATAAAGAATTCTATTCTATTCTATTCTATTCTGTTCTGTTCTATTCTGTTCTGTTCTATTCTATTCTATTCTATTCTATTCTATTCTATTCTATTCTATTCTATTCTATTCTATTCTAACTTTTTCTGAAAAGGATTAAAAGAGAGCAATGCACATATACCCATTATCACAATATTCCTTTCCAGGGTAAGATACATTATGGAAGGCTTATGAAAGAAACAGTAAGCTGAAGAAATGAAATTTGATAAGGGAAAAATGGAAATCTGGCCACATTTAGTTTATATCAACATTTTTCGCTACTCCTCTCAATACTTTTCTGTCTTTGCAAACTCCTCCTGCTTCCACCTTCATTCATTTCTCAATGATCTCTTGAAGAACAAAAATTTGTTCTGCAACCAGCTATCCTTGCTAAAGCCGCACTGGGTTTTCTATAAGTTATTCATTCTTACCTTCTTTGCAATCAGAATTCTACCAGACACCTTCGCAGGCACGCTTGAAAAATTAATCCCTCTCTGCTTTTTGCATTCCTTCTGGCTAAGGATACCACAGCAGCCTTCTTCCAATTGTCGGGCACAAGTACAGTCTTCACCCACACAATTAAGCAAAGAGTGCAGCCACTCCATAAAAATCCCATAAGCAGGTTTTCATGTTTTTCCAGTTACATCATCCGCACCTGTAGTTTTACCATTTTTCATTAACCTGACAGCGCTTACAGCTTTCTTTTCATCCATTGTTTCTTGGACACTAGGCTGCCATCGTCCCTTCAGGGTCAATTTGTTATTTTTAAGCCATTCATTCCTTATTACCTGTTTCCAGACCAGTTTTTTTACTATTGTTAAACCTGTTCTGTATTTTCTCTGCTTGTTTCAATCTTATCCAGTCCTTGCTCTTTGAACATATTTTTGCAAATGTTTTCTGTATTTATATGCACCATACCAGGTATTTCCTCATTTTTATAACTGTCACTCCTATAGCTGCATGCTTTTCTCATGAACAGACTCTTTCATTTCTTCATTCCTCCAAATATACTTTTCATATTTCCCATTGGTGTAATTGCAAACCCTCCTGTGATTCCTGTAATTTAATATTTTTCATTCTCTTACAAACATTCTCCTTTTTCCACTTCTTATACCCACTTTCTATCTATTTTATGGATAGATAAAAGATCTTTTATAAAAGATTTCTTTTTCATAAAGAAATTTTATTTTATAGTAAGATTTTTTTTTTTAAATCCAGACTTGGGGTTTTGATTTGTTAAATTAAATCTCATTTCAGTTTCAGTATGCACACATAGACAGTATTTTGGAATGGAATTTTTACATCTTTTCTCTGTTTGATATTTGGAGTTCTTAAATTAAGTCTTATTCATATACAGTTTGAAATGTGCAGGATTATATGAAACGAATGAAAGGCCAGAGATATATGGTGGTTGGTTCAGAGGCACCTATAGAATATGATGGCTGTTATGTTGCAATGCGAACTCCTTACTTGCAACATCAAAACACACATACAAAATGGGTGGAGCTTACATCACAACATTGTAAAGCTTATTTCATTAGATGTGGTGTAATGCAGTGAGGAATCATAGGAAGGAGGGGGCTCTTTCCAGAGAGTAAAGAAAAACATTGGAGCTTGGAGTCTGTGGTGTGCAGGAAAAGGCTATTCACAGGATGCATCTAATATGCAGATAGTTACTTTAGGCTGGCAAGATTTCTATCTATAGGAGAACCATAAAGAACTATTCAGAAGTAATTTCATGTATCATTCTTGATTCTTGGACCTTTCACATATACCCCCACTTGTCCTCCTCCCCCCATAGACCTTTCTGAGTTGATCTTAATTATAACCATGAAGTTGTTTGGACAGGACCCAGTGTTTTTCTGGGATTTCTCAAAATAAAGAGGAAACATGGCTCATTATTATTATTATTATTATTATTATTATTATTATTATTATTATTATTATTATTACAGTTATTATAAATGTAAAGATAAAGGTTTCCCTTGTCCAGTTGTGTCCAACTCTAGGGGGCGGGGTGGTGCTCATCCCTGTTTCTTAGCAGAGGGAGCCAGCATTGTCTAAGACATTCCCATGATCATGTGGCCAGCATGACTATATGCTGAGGCACACAGAACACTGTTACATTCCTACCAAAGTGGTACCTATTTATCTACTCTCATTTGCATGCTTTTGAACTGCTAGGTTAGCAGGAACTGGGGCATGTAACAGCGACTCACCCTGTTGCATGGCATTCAGGTTTCAAACCTGGGCTGTCGACTTTCCAGCTGACAAGCTCAGCATCTTTAACCGCTGAGCTATCGCACCCCCTTACAGTTATTATATTATTATATTATTATATTATATTATATTATATTATATTATATTATATTATATTATAATTATATTATATTATATTATATTATATTATTTATTAAGCTTATATGCTTAGAGTCCGGAAGGAAAGGACTCAGGGCGGCTCACAGCAATAAAAACAGATAAAATCAATATTAAGTGTAAAAACCATTAAAACTCCCCTTAAAAACCCCTTCAGTCCAATCCAGCCTGGCGAAATAAACATGTCTTAAGGTCACGGTGGAAAGAGCGCAGGTCAGGGGCCACCCGGAGCTCCAGGTGGAGTTGATTCCATAAGGTAGGTGTGCCCACAGACAAAGTCCGTTCCCTAGGAGTCGCCAGACGACACCATGAGTTGAAAATCTCTTTCTAGAAGAATGTGCTCAATCTTTCATCGATTATTACTCTCCTTGACTTGAGTATCCTTGGACATGTCAAGGGAGGAAAATGTCCACTGTGGACTTCATAAAATGAAAAGAACAGAATTTACTTATGAATGCTAGCGGAATAAACCAGATTCTTTAAAGAATGGCTGGACTTCAAATATAATTTTCAATCCTCTTTAAGTTGCCACATAAATACTTCGTAAATGTAATGAGCAGCAGAAATAACCTTAAGGAACAAGAGGAAAAGGTTGCAACCAACACAAGGATCAGATAAAAAAATCGGAGTCCAGGCCAGAAATGTAATTTGAGAAAATGTCTCAGACATGTTCCTCCCTAGTTCTCATGAAGAAAAAGGGGGAATGGAGGGAAGCACATTCAGACTTGCAAGATTCTGTTGCTATAAGCTTATACTAAAAGTAATATCAGCTTGCATATCTTTGGTTTCCAAGTTTGTTTACCTTGGAAGGCTGACAAAAAGAATGTCAAAAAGAACTTTAGTAGATAATCTGGTATAGACACTCCAGCTCACTGTTTTAATTGTTTTTCAGATTCCTAGAAAGGCCCATAGATCTTGCAAAAGTAATCAAGAATAGATGATTCTCTGAATTCTGTACCTTTCTTCAACTATCCATTGGTAGATAGATGACTCTTTTTTGAACTGAAACATGATAAATATTTCCCCTCCTCTCTGTCCTATGTGTATGTGTGCATATGGAAAAGTCTACAGGACAAATTGATTCTCACTTGTAAGAGGGATAGATTGTGACTTGCTGCATATTATTTCCTGACCATGGATAGAAGCACTTAGACCTAGATGAACCATTTCAAGTGCGCGCAAATGCCATTGTCACAAGAGGTTTGCTCTTTGCCGTACCACTGAGAGACAAAAATAGGGATGAGACAAATGGTGTTGTCATTGTCCTTCAACCATATCGCATTGTTGGAAAGCATCTTTAAGATTCCAAAATGTTGACCCTCTTGCTGTTTAATGAATTGTTCTTACAGGCTCGAAAAGCAAAGAGGCAAAATGACTTCTGGGGAAGTTGGGGAGAATGGAGTGAATGCAGTCGGAGTTGTGGTGGAGGCATCAGTCTTCGGCAAAGGCACTGCTACTCACGGAGGTAATAACTCTTCCTTTACAATTCAGTTTTCTACTCCTTAAGCTGTATCATTTACAAGAAAGGATAGAACAGATCTTGTATGGAAAATTAAGAAGAGTTTTATGAACATTAGGCAGATTTCTGTGGCCAAAAGTTGCCTATTTATTTGATGGGAGATGCTTTTGTCTTGTTGAGTTCCTAATGGTGTTTGCTTGGGTTATATTTAACCCAATATCTGGGTGACTGCAAGAAGTGACATGGGAATGAAATACATGAACTGGGGGATGTAAGCATCAACTTAATATTTAAAAATTAATATCTTGGTATTAATAAGGTCAGTAATGACCTTATTGGCATACTGGTTATGTTTTCTTGATCAATAACTTTTTGGATAAATAAATCAATCTGTAACTTGATTTAGCCTCTGCTCCAAGCCATTAGACATCTTTAGGTAAGCTGTCGTCTTTCTCCTCCCATCAGTAGTTTGAAAAGGAACAAGGTATTAACATCAATATTGGTTTTGTTGAAAGGATTACAATTACAATGCTCTGAACAATTGACATTACTCAAAGTTAATAGCAGCAAAATTTATAATGGGATGCAATCTTTTATTTTGATTCTGGCCACAAGAGGCAGAAATGGACTTGAGATAAACTATATTTCCACAGTTTTAGGTTGGAAAGTCCCTCTGAATTTTGCTCAAGATTGGCAATTTTGAGATCAGCAATATCCTGGAAGGATCAACGGTTTTGTGCAGATGTTACCTTTCTGTTAAAAGGAGAAAGGTAGAGATGGAGGAGGAAAACTGATTATTTGGGAAGATAGCAGAAAAACATTAATTTTTTTCCTCAGCAATTTGGATTTGATGGCTTCCCAAGTCAATGCCCATGTGAGGTTTGAAATAGCTTCCTGCTCACCATCAGGATGCTAGACTTTTTCATGTTTTCCTTCTCTGATTTATTCCACACCAAACTTTCCAAGAATGAGCATGATTGTCATCATTGCCTAAAAATTCTAATTTAAATAATTAAAATTTATTTTTAAATTGTTTATACCTGTGATGGCGAACCCATCGCACGCGTGCCACAGGTGGCATGCAGCGCCCTCTCTGTGGGCACACGAGCCGTTGCCCCAGTTCAGCTCTGCCACGCATGTATGCACACCTCCCACCGGCCAGCTGGTCATCAGGTCTCTGTCATGCATGCGCAGGGGTGGGGTGCATGCAGGGGCCAACGTGGGGACAGCGCATATGGGGAGGCAGGGCGCATGCGGGGGACCGTGTGCAGGGGCAGGGCACATGCACAGGGGCTGCGCACACATTGCATTTTGGGAATTCAGGCGCATGCTTTGGGCACTCAATCCGGAAAAAGTTAGCCATCACTGGTTTATACCATTGTAATTATACATTTTTAATTTGCCTTGCAGTCTCGTTGTGGGAAATTAATTTGGAAATTGTTTATGGCTCTTCCAGGTATAAATATCTTTATCATCACCAGATCTAAACTCTGAAAGAGTCTCCTGATGGCTTACAAACTGAAATTCTGGGTTAGTGCTGCTTTGTTTGTAGACATAGGAGAGACATTGTAAGCATGGCATTTTGAAAACACTAACAAAAGCCTCGATGTTACATCTATGTAGTAATAAAAATGCCTGAGCCTCGCGTGCTAGGGCAGGCAGAGCTACACCCATTAGTTGCAATGTTCTGGAGGATATGTACTAGTCTTGTATAAACAAGGCCAGACATTAAAAGTGTTGAATGCTAACATAACAAATGCTTTTTAAAAATCAGTTTGTTCTAAGGTATTGCGAAATTACTAGATATGCCTTCTAGATGAAGGTCTCTGCCGTCAACTCTCTGTCCTTTTTTTTTTAACCTTTTAAATTTGCACACACAGAGAATTTAAAACCAAGTCCCTCAATAATAACATGTCTGAAGATCTCTTTGCTTTATTTTTGTAAACATTGGGAAAAAGTTTTGGTTTGGGGGGGGGGGTGTTGCTTTTTTTTTTTTTAACCACGGAGTGTCCCTTTCTTTTCATTTATTTGAAATCAGGGAGACATATGTTTGCTTACCTATAGAAAGAAAAAGACGTGTTTCAGAGCTTAAATTGCTTCCATTGCAATCATAGAATCATAGGATTGGAAGGGACCTTGGAGGTCTTCTAGTCCAACCCCCTGCCCAAGGCAGGAGTTCTTATTCCATCCAGGACAAATTGTTGTCCAATCTTTTGTTAAAAACCACTGTCAACGGAGCACCCACAACTTTGGGAGGAAAGCTGTTTCATTGACTAACTGTTCTCAGTGTCAGGAAGTTTCTCTTTAGTGTCAGGTCGGCTCTTTCTCTAATCAGCTTCCACCCATTGCTTCTTGTCCTGCCTTCAGGTGCTTTAAAGAACAAACCAATCCCCTCTTTCCTGTGACAATCCTTCAAGTATTTGAAGATGTCTATTGTGTCACCCGCTAAGCCCATGATGGTGAATCTATGGCACATGTACCACAGGTGGCACATGGAGCCATATCAGTGGGCATGCGAGCTCAACTCTGCCACCTGATTTTTGGGCCTTCCGGGCCTACCAGAAGTTGGCAAATGAGTCATTTCTGACCTCTGGAGGGCTTCCGGGGGAGTGGAGAAGGCCGTTTTCACCCTCCCCAAGATCCTAGAAAGGCTCTGGAGCCTGGGGAGTGCGAAAAACGGGACTTCTGTTCCCACCAGAAGTCGGCAAATGGGCCATTTCTGGCCTCCAGAGGGCCTCTGGGGGGGGCGGGGAACCACCAAGAAAGCCTCTGGAGCCTGGGGAGGGCAAAAAACGGGCCTACCAGGCACACCGTGCCATTGCGTGCCTAAAGTGGGGGGAGCCTGGGAGGGTCACATGCATACGGGGGGCGCATTGAATTATGGGTGTAGGCACACACGCGTGCGACCCCACCGCACTCCCCCTGTTTTTGGCACGCGATGGCAAAAAGGTTAGCCATCACTGCCCTAAGCCTTCTCTTTGTTAGGCTAAACATAGCTAGTTCCCTTAGCCATTTATCATATGATTTAGCCTCTAAACCTCTTATTATATTTGTTCTTCTCTGCGCTCTTTCTAGGACCTCAGCATCTTTTTTGTATTGTGATCAGAACTGGACACAGTATTCCAAGTTTGGCCTTACTAGTGCAATGTAGACCGATACTATCTCTTCTCATGTTCTTGATGCTATCCCTCTGTTGATACAGCCTAGGATATTCATTGTCTCTTTTGGCAGCTACACATACTGCTGACTCCTACTTAAGCAGTAGTCCACCAGTACACCTAAATCTCTGTCACAGGTATGTTGAGCCAGGTGTTTCCTATTCTATACCTGTGCATTTGGTTTTCCTCCCTAAGTGCAGAACTTTACTTTTCTCACCACTGAATTGCATCTTTGTTTTTTTAATTTGATTTATATGCCACCCTTCTCCGGAGACTCAGGGCGGCTTACAATGCGTTAAGCAATAGCCTTCATTCTTTTGTATATTTATACAAAGTCAGCTTATTGCCCCCACAAACTGGGTCCTCAATTTACCTACCTTAGAAAGGATGGAAGGCTGAGTCAACCTTGAGCCTGGTGAGATTTGAACTTACAGTAATTGCAGACAGTTGGTGTTAATCTCAATGCTATCAGTCTGCTCAGCCACCAGCCATCAGCCACCAGGCCTGAGCCACCAGGCCCTATCTTGTTGGATAGGGTCCAATGCTCAAGACTATCAAGTTTCTTTTGACTCTTGAGTCTATCTTCAAAGTGTTGGCAATTCCATCCAGCTTGGTGTCATCTTCAAATTTGATGAGTGCTTCTTTTAACCCCCACCCCGATATTATTATAAAAATGTACACAAATGATGAAATAGATATAAATATTAATCAAATAAGAAATTGAAATGAGAATAGAGATAAATAGAAAATTGGGGCTGCTCAAATATCATTCTAGATTGAACTGAAAAGGAAAACAACAAGAGAGAGGGGAAGGAGGAGAGAGGAGAGGAGAGGAGAGGAGAGGAGAGGAGAGGAGAGGAGAGGAGAGGGAGAAAGAGAAGAAAGGGAAAAGGAGAGGAAGAAAAGGGAGGGGAAAGAGGAGTAGGAGAGAAGGTTAGAAGGGGAAGAAAAGAGGAGTGGAGGAAGGGAAGGGGAAGTAGGAAAGAGAAGGGGAGGAGAAGAAGAAAGGTTGTGGCAAAATAAAGAAGGGTAAATGGTAAAAGAGCAGCCCTGAATAAGTAAAAATTAAAAATGAAAGTTAAAAGATAAGATGAATAAAAAACAGTGGATAAATGACTTTACATGTTTATGAGAAATAAAAATAAAAACTTTTTTGAAAAAACAATTTTGATGAGTGCCTCTTCAATCCCTTCATGTAGGTCTACATGAAGCTGCTAAAGAACATTGGGCTCAAGACAGAATGTTTAAATACCCCACTGAATATTTTCTTGAATGTAGATGTAGTTCCATTGAGGACCACACTCTGAGTGTGGTTAGTCAGTCAACTGCAATTCCATCTGGTGGTGGCAATCAAAGTAATAAATTTGGTTTAATCAGGTCTGTGAAAAGTGTGCCACACACACCACACACACATACATATAGGATATTGCTGTGAGAAGATGCTCTTGCGTGAAATACTAAAGAGATTACGAGCATTTCCCTATTCTGATAATTGAACCATAGATTCCTAAATACATTTAGAAAAACAATTTTAAAATTAACTCTAAAAATGGAACTTTTTAGAAAATATAGAGGAATGCTGGGTCAATTTTTTCCCAGTCTTTCAGCAAGCAAAGATGTACCAGATGTTTGCCTAACTTTGACCTTCCAACTCAGAAAAATATTTTTTATGACTCAAAAGCTTATAATCATTGTTTAGTCCATGGAAGAGTATTATTTTTCTGATCCTCTTATTATTATTATTGGACCAATATTTGAGTGATGCCATTACATCCACCAATACTGTAGGCAATCTGTTAAGTGAAAAAATCAATTTTTCCATAGCACAAGTGATGCCTTCAGGAAAGTCCTTTGGATCCTGTCCAATAAGTAATCACTATGACCTTATTATAATAAAACAGACTGGGGAAAGGATTACAAATATGTCGGAACAGCAAATCCAGAATTCCCAGTTGTGTGGCCAAAGAAAGAAAGGCTCATGGTATCAAGAAAAGTCCATAGATTTGAGAGAGTATTTTCCAAAGGTGTGGCTCTAAATTCTCTTTTCTTGCCGTAAGTGTCACTGACTTCAGTAGGATTTGCACGTGCAGGAATCATACAAACCTGAATTCTTTCCAATGTGTTCACCTGCCTTTTCAGCCAAAATTGGCATCAGAAGAAATTACCCCATCCCTTCCCTGAAGCAAACTGTGTACTTCCCACTGTAGTGAATTTACCTGATGGCAACATTTAGAAATTGTTCACTTTGCACAACATGCTTTTATGCAGCAGGATTCTATTGTGATCCATATCCTATTGGGCCTAGTGGTTTGTTCACCAATGAATTTTGTCAGGAAAAAAAAATAGGAACTCGACCCCAGTCTGCCACCTATAGAGATTTACAGTCCTGATATCTTTTAAGCTTCTGTCATGAGTCAAGGTACTTGCAGATTGAAAACCTTACTTGGCAGCATCTTCTGCTTAAAGTTGAATAGGAGTGCAATTTCACAAGCCATTCCCAAATGGCTGGGCTGGAGATTAAATTGCTCAGATTTTATGGGTGGGAATGAATTATGCAGCATTTCTTTATGGTTAATATATTAGTGAGATCACTCTACCACTGTTTTGGGTTATTTAAATGTTACCCAAGGCTTCCAGAATAAAGTTCTTGTGTGACTAAAGTCACAATGTAAAAAGTTTGACAATTAAATCACACTTTATCTGTCAGTTTGGTGCACTGAGAAGGAGTTACTACTCTTCCCGAAAAACAGAAATAAGGGATCCTTGATGCTCTCTAAGCTTGCTTGTTTTCTTGCAGAAGTTAAGCTACCCTAACTAGGTAACATCATCAGTGCTTGAAGGAGTGCTGTTTGCTGTCAGTTTATATTCTGGTGACTTGCCTGTCTGTGTGGGTTGGGGAGGTCTTAGAGGTTCTTCCGTTGGTCTGCTTACTTTGATGGCTCTTTGGCAGTTTCTTGATTGGGCTGAAGAAGCTACTTGATCATTGGTCTGAAGTTAACCTTAGAGTTATGCTGATCTGGGTGCTGATTACTGGTGAAGAAGTGCTGGAGTCTTTTTGTTCTCTTTCAGGCTGGTTGATTGTCTCTGTTGCATAGTCTATAGATAAAGAGAAAGAAGCCTGAATGTTGTCCCAAAGACTGAAGAAGCTTCTTGGATGAGAAGCGAAACATCTTCAAAGAAAAACCAGAAGGTGCCTTTTGAAAAAGCACCGTTGGGACAACTATGACCTGGATGACTGAGAGTCTCCATAGATATTAAGCCTGAATGTTGAACTAATTCATAAGATATACAGTATCTTGAGGGAGTTGACAGAACTGGTTCTACTTCAAAACAGCATCAACTATCCAAGAGTTTCACAATTCTCCTGGTTCAATCCTGCATTACAAATTGACAAACAGTGCTCCAATTAGAATTGTCAGTTCAGAAAACATAGACAATTATTTTAATGAAGGGAGAATTTGAATTCAGTTTAATTTTTTAAGTGAATATTTGAGAAAAGAAAGAAGGATATGAATTCATCATTTCTTTCAACTGTAACTAACTCCTACCACTTGGAGAAATAGGGAGCAGAAGAAACTACAACACAGTCCTTTCAATAGTTCCAAGAAGGCTCCACACCCATTTGCACCACTCAGGTGACCCTGATGACCCTGATAAATCTCCAGGTGACCTTAACAACTTGCTAAAAAAATGCAAATGACCAAAGAGCTGAAGAAACTTCTTGGATGAAAAGTGTAATGTCTTCAAAGAAAAACCAGAACGTCCAGTTGCCTCTTGAAAAAAGCACCTTTGGGACAATTATGACCTGGATGACTGAGAATCTCCATAGACATGGAGCAGAAGAAAGTTTCTTGGCAACTACTTCCTTGTTAGAAATATTAAAAATGATCTGGCAAAGTATGGTTTGGGCATCACTAATCATTTACAAGCTTTTGCTGATTGTTATTGTGTATTTCAGGACAGATGGTGGATCCAGTTGCATAGGACCAGCCCAAAGTTATCGCTCATGCAACACTCAGGTAATATATTGGTTTGTTTCTTAAGATTTATATAACTATCCATTTATCATAAGCGTGTAATGGATGGGAGTTGGAAATCTGAATAATTTCAGTCATTTTATGGAACTAGATGATTGGGCCAAAATCATCCAGACAGTTTAATAATAGAAAATAAATATGAACCCAACTATCTTTGATCCAGAAATGCATTCACTACTCCCTCCTAGTTTTAGTGGCATGCTGGAGATATTCTGGTTTTTTTTTTTAATTATTTGTTTGTTAGTATACTGCTTGACACACAACAACAGCTCATAACAATCAAAGCAATTTATTTATCAAATTATCAAAGCTGCCCATCTCACTTAAACATGACCCTGGGTGGCGTGTATTAAAATAAACAGTTGAAAACAAATCCAGAACAACCATTAAAATAATATAAATAAGACAGTGAGAGAATATATCAACACCCACCCAGTGTATCCTTTTGCAGCTCCCCGTTTCTAAGGGATCCCCAAGCCTGCTGAAAAAACAATGGTTTAAGAAATAGCCAATAGTATCAAGGCTAAATTACAATAAATCAACAAAAAGATAAGAGAAGGCAGCATATAAGCAGCAGATCCTCACTTGGAGGAAAATACAGAAACTAAACTCTGGAGTATTCTTCGAAATCAGTGGCTTTTTTGCTTCAACATGTCCTCTATTTTAGATTTTCCTCTTCTTTTCTATAGGACTGTCCTGAGGGCTCCAGAGATTTTCGAGCAGAACAGTGTGCCGAGTTTGATGGGACAGAATTTCAAGGGAAGAAGTACAAGTGGCTCCCTTACTATGGAGGTAGTTTATTGATTCCTATTGCCGACTCTTTGTAGAAGGTGACAGAAAATTGGGGGGGGGGGGGAAGGGGGAAAATATTTGCTGAGATTTCTTATCTGGGAACAGTTATTTAAATTATTATTTAACCTGTCCTTCAGTTTAATAAACAACAGATTTTAACAAATATCAGTAATTTAATGTTGTAGGAAGTTAGCATCCACCCCTTTCCTAGAAGAATGAAATATTTTAGGAAATATTAAAAAGGCAGAATATTATATTTCCCTGGATGAGAAATGGAGAAACATGTTTTAAAAGACAAGCAGCTTCCTGCCTCCCCTCTCACACCTGTGTTAATGAGCCATAATCTGCAACACAATAGGACCCATCTAGGACAGAAATTCACCACATGGCACCTGGGAAGATAACATCAGCCCGCAAGGCTAGCTAAGACCCCCACACCCTGGAAGTCTGACAACCAATCAGGATACTCTTTCGGGGGCCCAGGAAGTTCAAAGCCAGAGCGAGCATAAAACGCAGGGACTTGCTGTATCTCGCCCCTTTTCTGTTCAGGAACTCAAGCCATGTGATCCTGTCCACCATTAAACCATCTTTCCAAGCAGTCTCCATGTTTACAGTGTCTTTTTCCCCACTTGGAGCTGAACCCAGAAAGATATTTCTTCCAACAATGTTTACAAATATCATTGTAAAATTGTAAAAATTTAATTTTTTAAAAAAATTGCTGTTAGAATAAAAGATACGTTCTCAGAAAGGGGGAACAGAGTAGAGAAATGGAGAAGGGAAAAGCATGGTTGTATTCTAATTCTTAAAATTCCTGGGATAAAACTGATCAGCGAAGAAATTTGGAAAAGTAAAGGAATCACTCAATTTGGCTTCACTCATTTAGAATACAGCTGGTTTCAATTAGGGCAGATAATGAATCCCACAAAATAGCTGCATTATTCAAATTTGCACTGTTGCAAATATTTAGAACGCAGAACATAGAATAACAAGGTTGGAAGGAACCTTGGTGGCCTTCTATTCCAACCCACTGTTCAAATAGGAGAATTTATACTTTATTATTATTCTAGGAGCGTGATGGCAAACCTATGGTACGGGTGCCACAGGTGGCACACAGAGCCATATCTGTGGGCATGCAAGCGTTGCCCTACCTCAGTCCAGCACGCATGTGCATGCTGGCCAGCTGATTTTCAGGCCTTCCGGGCCCACTGGAAGTCGGGAAACGGGCTGTTTCCAGGCCTCCGGAGGGTCTCTGGCGGGGTGGAAGGCTGTTTTCACCTTCCCCAGGCTCCTAGAAAGGCTCTGGAGCCTGGGGAGGGCAAAAAATGAGCCTACCGGGCCCACTGTGCCATCATGTGCCAAAAGCGGGGGGAGAGTGGGGGGGTCATGCGTGCATGCGTGGGGGGATGGGGCGCATTGAATTATGGGTGTGGGCATGCGCGCATGCAATTCCCCCCCCACTACCCCCGCTTTTGGCACGCGATGGCAAAAAGGCCATTACTGTTCTAGGATAATATATCATATATACAGTATTATTGTATATTTATTGTATTTTATTATATATACTATAGAGATCAAGGTAAACGGTTCCAGCTTTATGGAAATATGCAATGAAAATATTTAATCATATGTTTGTATTTGTGTATTGATGCAATATTACAGTAAAGGATAAACATTAGTTGCAATTTATGGTTAGCAAAATCACCGAATAGCTATAGAAAGAAACATAAAAAGAAAAAATTCTAAATACCATTCTTAAAGGTAAGAATACTCAATTTTTAAATTGATCAAACCAACCAAGACTTGCATTAAATGATTCTTCCACTTCATTGCTTTTTTCTTTTGCTTTCTTAAATGTAAAGCTTTTGTCTCAGTGTCTGCTCTACTAGGAGGACTGTTGCTCTTGATTGCAATCCTCAGTCTTTATAGATGTTCTGTTTCTATCACTGAAACATTTCTACTCCCTGTAGCTGTTTACAAACCACACAAAAAATGACGCAACTTTACATTTTTATTTCCCCTCCATACCATTAATTCAGGCATTCCAAAATCTCATCCTATTTTAGAGTTGCTATGACTATATTTCAGTCGCACCAGGGGTGAAATGTAAAATTTGTTAGGGTTAGGGTTCTGTGGGCGTGGCTTGGTGGGGGGGTAATGTGACTGGGTGGGTGTGGCCAACTTTTTTTTTTTTTTAACTTTTCAAAGCATTTTTTCTAATGCTTTGAAACGCCTCTCTGACGATCAGGCAACTCAGCTGGGATCGTCAGAGAGGCTTTTTAAAAAATACCTCTCTGCTGATCACACAACTCAGTTCGGATGGTCAGAGACTTTTCAAAGCATTTTTTTACCACCTCTTCGGCCAAGAGGTTGCAGAAAAAAATGCTTTGAAAAGCCTCTGACGATCCCAGCTGAGCCACACAATCATCAGAGGCTTTTTTTTTTTAACTTTTAAAAGCATTTTTTCATCGGAAGAGGTTGTAGAAAAAATGCTTTTAAAAGTAAAAAAAAGAAAAAGCCTCTGATGATCGTGCGGCTCAGCTGGGCATGGGGGGGGGGCAGGGATTTTTGCTACCAGTTCTCCGAATCACCTGCCGCCCTCACTACCGGATCAGGTGATCCGGTCCGAACCAGGAGCATTTCACCCCTGAGTCGCACCCAGTTTTTGATGTAATGTAATAATGAGCCACTTTTTTGAGTTTGGAGTGTTTTCATTGAAAGGAATCTTTATTTTGTCCATTTTGAGCACCAGAGATAAACAAGTAGCAGTATCTAAAATCCAGTAACCACAACTGTACTTCGCATAACTAAATGCTGGCTCAATATTAGGTATCACTTTACGATTGCACTAATTCTAATACTGCATTACTCAAACCCACTTTAATCACAACCTAGCTGTATATTCACTGACTCAGACAATAAAAGCCAATGAAGACACTGAACTTTCCATAGCAGTTTTTCCTCTAAATTTCATCATACTTTAGAAATTTTTAATATGGTAACCTGACAATAATCTGAATTCTAAGGGTTTTTTTGCATCTGATTGTGAATTGTTTGGCTGGTTCCCTTTGCAAATAAAGTCTGTTCTCCTCTGACAAAGTTCATAGTAGATAAAAATATTTAGCTCTGTGATCAAGATGGACAGCAGACTAATTATGAGTTGGAAGAAAAAGTTCTCTTCATGGCCAATGTAATAGAACATGATCATTAGGGGAAAAATGCTGAATGTAATTTTTTTAATACATTGCTCTTCTCCCATGCCAATCAAAGATAAATACAGCACATGGTCCTTCAATATTCCTTTCTCATGTTGCAGAAAAATGGGTTAAAGTTGTGGGTTGGCCAGAAAATCTTCATGGTCATCCTTATCTGCCACTAAGCACTATATACTACTTTCCACTATATATGCCATTCCATTGATTTTATATCCCCCTGCACATTCCAAACTACTAAACTTGCAAGGGAATTTCTATAATTGAGATCCTATCATGCACAGAATATCACAAGCCTGTTAGAGACTGGACTGGACTTGCAACCATACAGACCACAATGTCTCAAAACTGACTGCTTCTGTCCTCACTATTGCTAAGGCATCCTGCAATTTACATAGACTGCCAACCTGGTCCACCTTAAGATCAGGTTGGCAACCTTAAGAATCATTAATCATAATGTTATATTCAAATAAAACAATATGAAAAGTCCTACATATTTATTTATTTATTTATTCATTCATTCATTCATTCATTCATTCAGCATATGGCATATCCTACATGGATGAGTAATATATATTCATATTTCACCTAGACTAGTAAAATACAATAAAATATAAATGTTGAAAAAATCTATGTTCAAATATCAATGTCTAGGCCATTTAACCATTGAAGCGCAGCATCATTTATACTTAAAAAAAAAAAAACATCAGATACTGGATCAGTATATGCCCTCAGCTTGCAGCCAGTCATGGTGTGATCTACAGCTTGACGTGGGACCTGCAGTCAAAATGAGGGAAGGATACTATGCCCCATTTATACAGAGTGTCCCACTAGATGCCTTGTGAGATGTGAATCCTATTCAGGATTGTCCATTGCTGACATGGTAGTTCAAAGCCTTTTTTGTGGGGTCATTGATGTCTTCCTATGTTTGGGCGTTCAGTGACCCATTTGGCTTTCCATTGGATGCTTACAGTTGTTGGGTAGATGTTGTGTAGGTGCCAGTAGGGGTTTCCTGGCTTTGAGTCTTCTGGCTGATAAATGAGGAAGGTTGGCACACACCAGCAGTCTTACATAAAAAATGCTACATTGAAGCCTCAACTAACCAAAGCCATGATGAGTGGCAGGTATCAGTATGCATGGGCCCATTATATTGATAACTATAATAATAAATGAAATGGAATGGAATGGAAATTTATAACATGGAATGGAAGAGGAATAAATGATAAAGAACAGGTATCAACAAATGGAAAGAAAGGAAAATAGGGGGGTTTTTTTGTATGCTTGTGAAATAAGAGAAAGGGAAAGGATATAAAATATTTAAGTAGAAATGGTGTGATCTTGTGGAGTAGAGTTCATTAATACATGCAGGGAAATGAACAGGGAGTTTTAATTATGAATGAAAGGGCTAAATGTATGTCAGAAAATATGAATTGGTCTCATTTTGATTCTTGTGGATGTCTACACAAAAAGGAGATACTTTGCTGATAATTGCATGTTACGCTCTAGTGAATGGTGATAATGAAAAAACCAGAGATGCATTGGGGATGGGGGGTGGGAAATGTGCCACGCTTGGAATGAATGCAATCCAAGAGAAAGATTTGTTCTGCTAGCTGACATAAATGGCTGGGTGGGATAAGACATGTGAGTACAGAAAAAGTGATTGGGCTTTTCAAAGTCTCAAGAATGAACGGGAATGATGATTGATTGGTTAATTTCTGCTTAGAAAAAAGTCTGTTTCAGTGTGCACTTTAATGATATGTCTATTCATGGAACCGAATTCTATGCATTCCAAAGGATGACTGATATGTTCATTTATCAGGACCGCCACCGATCTGTAAGGCACCTTTGCACAAAATGTATTTTGCCACCCCTTCCGCATAACCATTTTACTTGCTATTTTTGAGAAACGGTTAAGGATAGCGGTTAGGACTAGACAGGAAGTTTGGAATAAGCTTTGACAGTAGAAGGGTGTTGTTTTGTTGCTGCAAGACTTGCCACAGCTCATATTTGTTAGGCTGTTCCCAGAACTGTAACAATATGCTCATTGAAAGATGTTAGGGGCACTCATAGTTTCAGATTGTGCAATACCTATGGTTTTTCTGAAACGATATATAGCATTTGTTTTGGAAGAAGTGAAATCTGATGTGAGTTAGCTGATGCAGTTGGAATGGAGGATAGATTTTGAAAACTTAATTTGGTGCCATTCGTCACCCCATCATAGTGCCTTTGTGCAATCTGATTGCAATGGCCCTTCCACTTACAATGAAGAATGAGAGAACAGTGAAGGATACAATGATGACAGATTCTGAATATGGCACAGACCATTGATAGTGTCAAGAATGGATAACGGGTAAATAGGCACAGAGGAAAGGAAAGAAATGAAAGAACTAGAATGGAAGAATGGCTGCATGAAGAGAAAGTTCAAATCCTATATTAAAAAAAAATATGAAGACAGATTAATCTCCCAACAGAATTGATAAAAGTGACCATAAGAAAAGGAGATAGTGAAAGTGCTTGGAATAGAGTGAAATAAATGATGTATGAATGATGCTACAGAACCATGTTGAGTTTGTTTATGCAAAACATTAAAATTGATGCTAAGTGGAGTTTAGGAGAATCATAAGAGTAAATAAGGCAAGCCAGTCAATATTTAGAGAGACTGAATGAATTGAAAAATGTATGAATGAAGAATGAATGTATCAGGAGGAAAGCAGGGCACTGAAAAAGTTGTGGCTGAAATGAGATCCCCCCAAAAGGAGAGATGAGTTTAAAAAAAACAAAATGCAGTATGTAAATTGATCTATAGACCTGGTTCAGGGGTGAAATCCAGCAGGTTCTGACAGGTTCTGGAGAACCAGTAGCGGAAATTTTGAGCAGTTCGGAGAACTGGCAAATACCACCTCTGGCTGGCCCCAGAGTGGGGGGGGGAAATGGGGGTTTTGCAGTATCCTTCCCCTGCCATGCCCACCAAGCCATGCCACGCCACGCCACACCACGCCACACCCACCAAGCCACGCCCATAGAACCGGTAATAAAAAAATTGGGATTTCACCACTGGCCTGGTTCTGTAAGAGTGGTTCTCAAAGATAACTTTAGAGAAATGGGGTTGATGTACTTTATCCTAATTTAGCTGCATTTACTTTTCTTTTTCTTACCTCATCTTATTTCTTCAATTGCTATATCTTGCTTACTTTTTTTACCTTACTTTCTCAGCTTTGCTTAAAATTGCTTAGTCCAAAAGATAACAATATGACAGGTAAGTTTGTGATTTGATTAACCATAAGTTAAATGAACTATGTCCATCTTGTCACTATTTACTGAATCCTGTTTATTGAACAAAACACAATTGGCTGCATTTGCACAATACACCATACCAAAATCAAACCAAAAGAATTATGGCTTAGAGCAGTGGTGAAATCTGAACCGGTTTACTACCGGTTCGCTGGCTGAGCATGTGCGCTGCGCACCACGCACCAAATGCAAAGTGCGGGCACACGCGCATGCAGTACACACTAAAAGGAGGCTTGGGAAGATAAGTAGAACAGCGTGCAGGGGGGTGATCATCTGTGGCATGTGATCGTCAGAGCCTTTTTTTTTACTTTTTAAAAGCATTTTTAACTACCGGTTCTAGAGAACCAGTAGTAAAAAATTGCTTAAAAAGTAAGAAAAAAAAGTTCCAATGATCGCGCATCACTTAGCTGATCATCAGAACTTTTTTTTTTTTTACATTTTTTACTACCAGTTCAGCGAACCAGTAGCCTTTTTTACTACTGGTTCAGGCAAACCGGACTGAACCGGTAGCATTTCACCCCTGGCTTAGAGTGTGAATACAATGAAACCTGCTAATGTTTCGAACAATTCTTGTTCCAGTCCATGTCCAAATTAAAGGTAGGTCTGATTCAAGCCTGAATTAACCTCTTATTCCAGGATTAGCATTCTTAAACCCTGGCCTGTATGAGAACCTTAATAAAGTTTGGCTTTTCTCCATTTGTAGAAGAATCAAAGTAAACCAACACATAAAACTCAAACAGCAAAATAACAGTGTGGCTTTTTAATTTTGCTCACAGCTCCCAATAAATGTGAATTAAACTGCATCCCAAAAGGAGAAAATTTCTACTATAGGCAGAAAGAAGCCGTCATTGATGGAACTCCTTGTGAACCAGGGACAAATGATGTTTGTGTGCAAGGGACCTGCCACGTATGTATTTGTCTTCACTCGCTTTCAGAAAGAATGCCATGTTTCCTGCCTTTTTTTGCCTCATAGATGAACTCTGAACTTCCTCAGACCATATATGGAATTATCTCATTTTATCCTACCACAGATTTGTTCGTTAAACTAAGCTGAGATCCCCATATTCACATACCATGACTAGCTTTCTGTTTTGTTTGAACAATAGTTGTGTTGACCAAGCCATAATTGATGGCATTCGCTCCACCTGCTCAGCGTTAAAACACATGCTATAAATCATGCAGTCTGAGTCCACATAATATCTCAAGCCAGACAAAATCAGGAGTGAGGAGAGCTTTGTTGGCCAAGAACTGCCTTTAAGTTGGGGGATGGTGTAGGCTGCTTTTAAGCAGGTAGGGCATCACATGTTAAAGGAGGGGTTGCAAGATTCAGCAAGCTTCAACATTTGCCCTCCCTAGAGCTAAAGCTAATAGTGAGTCTTCTGTTGGGGTTTTGTTTTGTTTTTTGGTGGTTTACTGAATATCAGCATATTGTTCACAGAATTCAATTCTATTCTGGGTTTTATTGCAAAGATGCCCTTTATATCTGTTCAACAGATGACTATAAATGACAGGAAGTCCATATTTCTTTCCCCAATTCAGTCTTTCCTCATTCCCCTGCCCATCTCTTCCAGCACTTTGTTGATTATGATCAGGTACACCTTTAGACTATCCAGAGTGGGTTTTTTTTTTTCAGTCATTGTATAATTCAGGTTGAGGGCCTGGCCTCTTGGAAGTTCCCAGAATAATCAAGGGATGGTCAGAAACCAGGATAAAATTAAAAAGAAGTAGCCTTCTGAGGGAAATTCAGACCTAACAGATTATTTCACAGGACCCAAGGAGCAAGGATTACAGTGTATTTGTGTTCATTGAGTTGTATGCATCTAAAATCCTCATAATGGGACTGGGAGATAACAGAGAGGGGAAGGGAGGGGTTATAGTTCAGATGTTGTAAGGTAAAGGAGTCCCTGAGGATTTTATTCTCCTAGACATTGCTAACTTTAAGGGATGGTGCTCATCTCTGCTACAAGACCATTGAGCCAGCACTGTCCGAAGACATTTCTGTGGTATGTGGGCAGCATGACGTCATGGAGCGCTGTTACTTGCCACCAAAGTGGTACCAGATGCTGTAGGACAGTGTTTTTCAAATTTGTCAGCTTTAATATGTGTGGATTTCAACTCCCAGCCAGCAAGAAAAGGATGTCTGGACCCTTTGCATGTTAAGAGGCCTTTCTGGAAACAGTTCGTGTCAGTGGATCTCCATCTTATAACAACAAAGCCAAAGGAGAAATGAAGAATACATTCTTTTCCCCTGGGAGAAAGCTCAGATGCACCTTGATTTTAAACTTTTAGCTCCTGAACTTCCACCCTTGGCCACCAGAGGGTTTTCAAGGACCAGAAAATGATCAACAGACCTGACTGCTGGGGGAAATCACCATCCATGAGTTAGCCCATATTTTAACCAACATGAATTTTGCTATCCCCTTTGCTGGCCCTTCTCTTGCTTCCCCTGCCTTTGCAAAACAGTGTCTCAATTATTTGTGCACAGGCTTGACGGCAAAGCTATTGGTACAGCTTTTGGGTTCTTCTTCCTTCCCATTTAAGCCTGAAACCAACCAGAAGGAAAAACATTTCCTAATCAAAGCACTGTGGCAGGAAGGGTGTAACACAGCATCCCACTATTGCTCAGCTTCTTCCTCTCCACTCCATGTGGTTGTAACAAGCACTGAATGAAGTTTTTTTAAAAAAAAACAACAACAACAATAAATTGATGTCACAAAGGGTGCCTTTTCAGGATATCTCTCTCTTCCTTTTTATGGATCACAAATGCCAACTTACGCAGTCCTCTGTATTTTGTTTGGGAAGCAATGACAAAGAGCAGATCCTACTGGCCCCCTGAAATGTTATTTCAGCCTTGCACAAAGCGAGTGAAAAACACAACAGAGTAGCATTTATAGCACTGTGAGAGAGCTTTGACACTGTTGCACCATCCTGAACGATCATCATTTCAGTTAACCAGCCACCATTTTTTACACTCTCCCAGAAAGCAAGGAAAATGGTAGCATCCTCACGTTGTGGAGGTGGGCACAGGTTGTGGCAGGAAACACTTCAGGTACCTAGAAAGAGGATTGCTGGAGAAATGCAAAAAGAAACCAGTGCTTAAAATGTACAACTCTACTGCATTCCTGTCTTCTTCGATAAACAAAATGATTATACAAAGGGGGAGGAGAGGGGGGGAGGGAAGGAGAGGGAGAGAGAGAGAGGGAGAGAGACCAAAATCTTCTAGCCCAGCACTGTTCCTATCTAACTCTTTAGCAATAGCACTGAGACTTACTTTATACAGTATACTAGTCCATGGTGCTTTACAGCCCTCTCTAAGCGGTTTACAGAGTCAGCATATCGCCCCCAACAATCTGGGTCCTCATTTTACCAGCCTTGGAAGGATGGAAGAACGCATCAAGCTCGTGCCCATAAAGATTGAACACCTGGCTGTGGGCAGAGTTTGCCTGCAATAAACTCTTTAGGGAGGCAATAGCAGACAAGACTGAGTTGGGAGAGGAAGGGGCAAGCCCATATCCACTTAAATAAATATTTCTCTGTTCTCATCTATTTTATTATTTTTCATTTATTCATCAAATCTGTATAACAGCCCGTCTCGTCAAACACAACTCTAGGCAGCATTCAATAATCAAACAATTCCTAGTCTTCAAACTTCCCCTCTAGCCTAATGACTGACCAAGCATAATGTCTTTCACGGACCTTGTATTGCGCACTTTGCAGATTTGAGGAAGGAAAGAGTGCTTTAATGATAGCACAGAGAAGGATGACTTAAGCCTGTCACGTTCATGGGCTGGAGGAGTTGAGAAAAAGACAACATCTTGGGGACACAATGAAAAAGGATGCTGCCAGCCATGTTTCTGCTGTGGTTAGGTACAAGTGGAGATAAAGCTGTTGAGTAGCCACAAAGACTGGGAACAAGTATGATGCATTGGTTAAAACCATAATGGCTGGATTCACTACTATGTCAAAACTAAGAAAAAAATAATAGTTTGGTTCCTATGTGGAAATCCTGCCAGCAGCCCCTCTTTAACTAGAGGGATTGAAGTGACTTGTTTTCCAGTTTAAAAACTATATTTTGTGATGCTTTACATTCCTTTTCTCTCCAAAATGTGGAAATCTGCTCTTACACTCTCTTGCATAGACTAACAGTTGTAAATATGAGCCAGTTACTAAATGCCCAGATTGTGATCATGTGACCATGGGGTTGGTGCAATGGTCATAACTTCGCGGATGGGTTGCAAATCTCTCTTTTTTTTTAGGCCATCGTAATTTTGAATTGTTGTTAAATAAATGGTCATAAGCCAAGGATTACTTGCACTGGTCCCTCTGAATTCCCCTCCCTCTTTTCTGCCCACCAGGCATCTGTTGGATTCTCTGCTAAGAACATGTTTATGTAGGAAGAAGCTATTTGCTTGGGCAGCTGGTGTGGGAGGAGGGCTCTGGAAGTACCAAATTACAGAGACTAATCGGCAGTTTCATTAAAGCAACCACATCAATAGTTAGCTTAAAAAAAACCCAATGTTTTAATTTTTATTAGCGAGTCAATAGTGGTTGCACAAACATTAGCTGAGTTAAATCTCTCATGTTATATCCCCATGGGGTTGACTTTCCTACAATTATTATATCACAGTGTATTTGAAAGCAACCTCCTTTGAAATATCAGTGCTGGAAATAACTCTGGGATTTGTGTGGACTTTGGGCAAACTTGCTTAAAAGTCTAAATACACACATTCACTGCTGAATGTCTGGAAAGTATTGATGTTGAACTCCCACGGGGCTGGTAGGTACCAAGGCTGTTTTAGAAAGATGTTCTGAGAAAAGTTATGAAACATATGGCTGCTGTTGCCCTGGCCTTGATATCCCCAGAGATGTTCTGAGTGGGAAAATCAGTATTCTTCTTTTTTTTTTTTTAAGAGGATTTGAAAGAAGAATCACTATTTATATATGTGCTCATCTGTTAGTTTAAATCAGTTTCATAACAGTTTATTATTATTATTTCTTTTAAAAATCTGTTCCTTCTGATCCAAATAATAGTAATTTAAAGAAAAAAATGGATGCTCACAATTGCAAGCAATACTTTCCCCCATTGTTTAGAAGCCTTTAAAGCAGAGGTCTCCAACCTTGGCAACTTTAAGCTTTGCTGGCTGGGGAATTCTGGGAGTTGAAGTCCGCCAGGCTTAAAGTTGCCAAGGTTGCCAAGGTTGGAGACCCCTGCTTTAAAGCAGTGATTCTCAAACTTGGAAACACTGAGTTGTGTGGACTTCAACCCCAGGCATTCTGGGAGTTGAAATCTACACATCGTAAGGTTGCCAACTTTGAGAACCACTGCTTCAAAAATATGTCGTCAATCTTATTGTGAAGTGTCTTGTCTTCCTATTTTCTGATAGCTGGACTTCTCCATCTTACCTGTGGTTTGTTTGAACTTTGTTATTTTACAGGCTGTTGGCTGTGATAAAATGCTGGATTCTTCTCAAAAGGAAGACAAGTGCTTGCAATGCGGTGGGAATGGAAGAGCTTGTTTTGAAGTCAAGGGACTTTTTGATGTGCCCAACCTCCCTAAAGGTACCGCAGCGCTGTTTTGGTACCATAGATTAATACAGGTAGTCCTCAACTTACGACCACAATTGAGTCCAAAATGTCTGTTGTTAAGTGAGACATTTGTTAAGTGAGTTTTGCCCCATTTTACGACCTTCCTTGCCACAGTTGTTAAGTGAATCACTGCAGTTGGTCAGTTAGTAACATGGTTGTTAAATGAATCTGACTTCCCCAGTGACTTTGCTGGTCAGAAAGTCGCAAAAGGGGACACAGCAACGGTCATAAGTATGAATCAGTTGCCAAGCATCTGAATTTTGATCGCATGATCGTGGGGAGGCTTCAAAAGGCGTAACTGTGAAAAACGGTCATAAGTCACTTTTTGCAGTGCCAGTGTAACTTTGAACAGTCATTAAATGAACTGATGTAAGTCGAAGACTACCAGTGTAGGAGACTTTAGACTGGGGCTGGGGTAGAGATGTGATTGATTGTTCTTATTAATCTTTTTATATCTTTAAAGCTAAAGTCAATAACTGTAACTCAGGAAGGTTTTTACTGTAGCATGTCTGCAGTGTGATGCATTGATGTCACTGCCTTGTGCCATATTACATCAATTACATGCAAGGGTAACTTTATGGCTAATATGAATACGGATGGAGACAGTTTGAAATCAGTGAAGTAGTTACAGCAAAATTTATATCTTTTCCCATGTAGCTTCTCTGCACGAAAGAGTGACTTTACCCTGGCTTCCTTCTCTATTATATTCTGTCTCAGAAAATGAATTTATTCTGGCTGATTTATTCTGCTCCTATAGGCTACAATCAAATCTTTGTCATTCCGATGGGAGCCACAAGTATCCGGATCAAGGAAGCAATCCCTACCAGGAACTTCCTGGGTAAGAAATTGTTACTGCTCTTGGTATATGACTTCCACCACCTCATTTAGTTATAACTTAATACAAGACAATATGGATCTGCATATTCAGAAATATTACATGGTACCATCATCTGGGTATTGTATCATTAATAACAGAGATGGGAGAACTGCTTACTTAATAGAATGCAATTGGTGTATGCTATGAAACAAGCTTCTATTTGCAACAATATGCCTGCAATAATACTGTATGTACATTTTACATGAAGCAAGAGTCTTCATGACTTCTCCATCGAAGTCCCATGTATGCCATCCATCCACCTTTGTTTATTTATTTATTTTATTATATTTTTAATCCCACCTTTATTATTTTTATAAATCACTCAAGGCAATGAACATACTTAATACTCTTTCCTCCTATTTTTCCCATAACAACCACCCTGTGAGGTGAGTTGGACTGAGAGAGAGTGCCAGGCCCAAGATCAACCAGCCGGCTTTCATGCCTAAGGCGAAGCTAGAACTCCCAGTCTCCTGGTTTGGAGGGATCCTCTGGAACAAATGATGAAACTGCATAGGGTCCATAAAGGGCAAGGCGAAAGGAACTATCCCCTTATCAGCAAAAACATAAAAGAATGAGGCATTTTTATACCTCAGCATGAGCGCAATCAACATAAATCATCACAGGATGAGATGATTAATAAATCATATCAAGCTTCCTTATAATGCTTTGATTTAATGATATGGGTTGAATGTTACTCACTGCTCTGTATAAAAATGACCAAGTGTTCTTTCATGTCAAACTAGCATCCTAGTAACTGTTTACACATCTGAGTGTTTTTTGTGGCAGTAACATGGAAATGGACATGCCTTCGTCCATGATATTTTTGTCAGTTTCCCAGGGCAGCCCACAGTTTAGGGATTTCCTTATAATCTGCCATCTGAATACAGGTAGTCCTCCATTTATGACTACAATTGAGCCCAAAATTTCCGTTGTTGGCGGGACAGTTGTTAAGTGAATTTTGCCCCATTTTACAACCTTTCTTGCCCACTATTGTTAAGTGAATCACTGTAGATGTTCACTTAACCACATGGTTTTTAACCCCATGGATTTTGCTTGTCAGAAGGTTGCAAAAGGTGATCTCAAGAACCCGAGACACTGCAACCGTCATAAATATGAGCCAGTTGCCAAGCATCCAGATTTTGATCATGTGACCATGGGGATGCTGCAACAGTCCTAAGGGTGAAAAATGGTCATGTCACTTTTTTTCAGTGCCGTTATAACTTTGAACAGTCACTAAATAAAATGTTGTAAGTCAAGAACTACTGTACCTGTATTTACTAGATCTCTGGGGGGTTTTGTGGGAGAAATCAGTCATGGTTGGCTAAATACAATTACCACTTGTAGATTTTCAGCAAAACATCATACCTCTACTCCCCACTCCCCCAAAAAGATTATATTGATATGTCATTTTGTTTAGTACATAATAACTACTTCCTATCTGGGCAATCTTTTGTAACATCAGAGTCTCAGAATTCTACATCACTGTCTTTACATTTTTTTCCCATTCCTCTTTTTTCACCCTCTTCTCAGCCATCAAGAACGTACAAGGAACATACTATCTGAATGGGCAGTGGACAATTGAGTACAGCCGGGCTTTGCCTATTGCTAGCACAGTGGTGCATTATGACAGAGGTTCAGAGGGGGATCTGGCTCCAGAGCTTCTACATGCCCGGGGTCCCATCACCGAGCCTTTGATAATTGAGGCAAGTAGCTGCAATTGCTTTCCTGTTTTCTTGGAGGTTTAATCCCTGAGTGTGCATAGGTGTTCTGGATAATTCTCCAGAATAATCCAAACAGAGGGATTCCACAAGTTCATAAATAAATAAAATAGATTGATGGGGGAACTTCCATCTTTTTGACTAACAACTATTAGAAAAAGAGTAGAGGAGAACTGGCCTTGAGGCTACCTCTATTTCATGCAGAGGTCAAACAGTAAATGGCTAATTCATTTGTCATGGCATTAAGATCACCTTAGTTCCTCATTCCTTAAGCCTAACATTCTAAGTGTGCTTAGATGAAATGAGTTTTGTCACATTTGGAGGGTATAAGGTTACAAAGACTACAGTAGTTTAACAATTGTTTCTTGATGAATAAAGAGGAAATATAATCTTTCTTCATTCCAGTAAGAACCCACTTTATCCTTTGTATTGTAGGCAAAATATTCAAATGTTGATCTATCAGAGTCAGGAAAGACATACAGCAGGAGATGAATAGCAGGCAGGAAAGGAATAACTTTGGCAAGGATCTGAGTGATGGATGTTTGTGTGTGTGTAAGACTTTGAGTCTGTTTTTGACTCCGAGCAACTGTCTGAACAAGTCCCTGCATTTGCTTGGCAAGGTTTTTGAAAAATGGTCTGCCATTGACTGCTTTCTAGGGATGAGACAGAGTGATTGGCCTAAGGCAGGGGTGCCAAACTCGATTTGATTGAGGGCTGCATCAGGGTTGTGTTTGACCTCAGGCAGCCGGGTGGGCGTGGCCAGCTCAACATCAGTTATCGAGTCTGGTTTTGGCTGTGACAGCCTCCTGCAGCCCTCTGCCAGCAAAAACGGAACCAGGTGGGCCATGTGCAGCCTCCTTGAGCTCCGTTTTCACTGGCAGAGGGCTGCAGGAGGCTGTCACAGCCAAAAATGGAGCCTGGGAGGGCCGCACACAGCCCTCCCGACCTCCATTTTCTCTGGCAGAGGCACCGCTGGCTAGTCCTTCATTGTTTCCAAGGTGGCCCCATGGGCCAGATCTAAGCACCCCACAGGCTGGATCTGGCCCGTGGACCTTGAGTTTGACACCCCTGGCCTAAGGTGACCCAACTGGCTTGTGCCCAAGCAAAGACTAGAACTCACAATCTCCTAGTTTCTAGCCTTACGACTTAACCAAATTGGCTCTGAGTGATACACAGTTTTCACAAATAGCAGACAAAGTTTGTTTATTTATTTATGAAATTCCAAAACCACCCATCTCCCTCACAGAGGGAAGTTGGAACTTGGACTGTAACAAACAGTTGAGTAATTCGATTTTTAATTAATTAAGTAATTAACGTATCAGGGAAAAGAAACTAAGCTGATCTTAGTTTTCAACAGGTAGAGCAGATTTTTGGTTTGTTTGTTTGAAAGAGGGATATTCCTGTTATCTAAACATTTATGTGCAAAAGTCCAGGCTTGGCCACTACATGAACTAGATAATACCTTGCTACAAGAGTAGCAAAAACAGTGCATTTCCTGAGACCTGCTTATCTTCTTTCTTTTTCAGCTTATCAGCCAGGAACGAAACCAAGGAGTACATTATGAATACTATTTGCCATTCCAAAGGCAAACATCAAGCTACAGCTGGGGCTATGGCTCCTGGAATGACTGCAGTGCTGAATGCGGTGGAGGTATATGCCAGCACCTCACATTTAATATTATTGATTTGCCTAAGTAATGCTTCCCAATCTATGTGTACAGATCACATATTGATCTCTGAGGATATTTTGGATAGTTTGTGGTCTTGGTGTATATGCTACAAACACAGACCTGTAGCAGATGGAGAAGCGGAAAGCTGAATGGGTGATGTGTGAGTATTAGTCTCCAAGATTGACTGTTTATTTAATTGGTCAAAATCTCAGATAATTAGCAAATCACACAAAATGTTGGCAAACTCACTCAAAATCTCAGAAACTTTTAGACAAGAATATTAGTTATATATGAGAATTGGTAGACATGCTAGATTTCAATCATTAAATTAATTGCTATACTGAACTATGGTAGTAGATTGTGTAATGACCTCTATTTTATACCTTTCACCTCTTAAAGCATTTAAAGCCATTTTTAAATAAAATAAATGCATTATCAAGTTGATCCTAAGCAGAAATCTGCTAGCTTGGGAGTATCACAGCATAGAATGGGTGAAAGCAATCTTCTTCTGCCTCAGATACCATTTCAGCTTTGCAGGATCCTATCTGAGTTGGTCACCAGGACCAGAGACTTAGTCTTCAACGTTGTGCCCTGCCTAAGGATTGCAAAAGATAGGATGGATAATAATGTGGACAGGTCCGAGGCATTTGGCTTGCTCTGAGTAAAGTATTATAAGGAATGAAACAAATGATTTAAGCCAGAAAAGTATTAAGTATGATCTTGCTTTTCAGGGCTTGCCAAAATAAATAAAAATTGCCCTAATTCAGGAGAGAATTGCTGGGTTTTAAACCACCCATTTTTGTTTAAGACCTAGGAGTAATATTCCCCTTCGATTCTCCCACACAAAATACATAAAAATGCCCTGAAAATTTGAAGCATTGACCTGTGTGGGGAAGATCAAGGGGAGCAAATGACAAAACAATGTTGGGCCATCATGATGCAAGCCCCATCCCTTTTGTTATGATCTCACACACCTATACAAAGGAGAAGGCCTTGTATCACCACAGCATGATGCTGCTTTGGTCATTTGCACAAAGGCACTTGCATCCTGTGAACATCTGTGAGTTTTAGGAAGCTACGTGCGTCTCAGGCTCTGAACATCTGTTAAGCATGAGAAGTGTAGCAATATTACTTCTGCAATACCTTATGCCCCCCCATGGGCACCTTACTAGTTTTTAGAGATGATATCATAATGATTGTAGCTGCTGCTTTCCCAAAGTAACTTTCTGTTCTTGTTGCCATTTTTCTAGTGTGTTATTTTAATGTAATGGGAAAACCAGGTTTGAACAGAGAGACAGAGAGACAAATGATTAGTTACATTAGATTATAATAGATAAAAGAGGCGTGCTGGCACAGTGGTTAGAATGCAGTATTGCAGGCTAATTCTGCCGACTGCCAGCAATTTGGTAGTTCAATTCTCATTGGCTCAACTTTGACTCAACCTTCCATCCTTCTGAGATCAGTAAAATGAGGACCCAGATTGTTGGGGGCAATATGTTGACTTTGTAAACTGCTTAGAGAGGGCTATAAACTATATAAATCTACCTGCTATTGCTATAGCCAAGTTTTTATTTTTGGCTTTTGGGTGGGTCAGTGGGACACAATAGCTGACCATTATTCTCGAAATTTTTCCTCTTAGACCCTCATCAGATTATCACTGAATCTTGGAGCCAGAAGGAATCTCATAAAATGTACTAACCTAAATACTCAGCCTTCCTGTTCTTACATACAGAAAATAAGGGCATATTCTAGTATTGCCTGGAAGGCTGAGAGAAAAGGCATAAATTGGAAGTAAACTCTGATTGAGTTGCAGCAGGATTATTATATCATGAACAAAATAATGTTTTTTTTGATAAAGCTTTTTTTGAGAATTTAACCTATATATATATATATATATATGAGTTAATGTTAATGTTAATTGTTAATGAGTGGCATATTTTGATTCATTCAGCGTTAAAGCCTGTCCATCTGCTTATTCTTCTTCAAAGTAAATGTGACCATCAACCTTACTGATTGCACTGCATATATGCCAGTGAGATTGTATATGGCCGTGATGGCAAACCTATGGCACGCTTGCCAGAGGTGGCACACAGAGCCGTCTCCGCTGGCATGTGCGCCGTCACCGTCAGATCACTGTGGCATTTCTTTAGTGAGCTTCTGTTTCCCTGCAAACAATGAAACGGAAGCTCACGAAAGAAAAAGATCTTACCTCTTGCTGCGCTGCCAGAGTTGGGATGCCCCACCTCCCGCCGGCCGGCTGGTCTTTGGGTCTCTGCTGCACATGCGTGCTCATGTCAAGGCAAGAGCCTTAGTGGTGCAGTGGACTAAAGTGCTGTTAAAGTAGCACTTAGCTGTCAGCTGCCTGCAATTACTGCGAGTTCAAATCTCACCAGGCTCAAGGTTGATTCAGCCTTCCATCCTTCCGAGGTAGGTAAAATGAGGACCCGGATTGTTGGGGCAATAAGCTGACTTTGTATAAGAAAGAACACCGCTTGGGGGGTGGGGTGAAAGCCCTACAAAGCAGGTATATACAAAAAGTATGAAGGCTATTGCTTAATGCAGTGTAAGCCGCCCTGAGTCTCCGGAAAAGGGTGGCTTATAAATCGAACCAATAAATAAATAAATAAATAAATAAATGTCCATGTATCTGTGCATCAGCGCATGACCACACATGCATGCATCTGCGGACGTTCAGGCATGTGCACATTTGCACATGGTCATGCATGTGCATGCTTACGCACGTTCATGCATGCACATATTCGCACATGTTCATGCATGTGCACGTTCGTGCACGTTCGTGCATGTGCATGTTTGCACACGCACACTTTTCAGTTTGGGCATGCACACGTGGTTTGGGCACAGTGTCTAAAAGGTTCACCGTCACTGGTATATGGTAGGGTAAAGTGCAAATAGCAGGTTTTTTTTAATTTTTTCCTTAAGCCTCTATACTGTTGCAAATGACATGAAAGGCAGTTTGATGTAGTGGTTAAGGCACCAGGCTAGAAACCATTGAATTCTAATCCTGCCTTAGGCCTGAAAGCCTTTTGGGAGATTTTGGGCCAGTCCCTCTCTCTCATCCCGCAACATCAGGCATCTTGGGTGACAAGATAGTTAGTCAAATCCTGTCACAATCAATGGATCAGCACCCGGTTGTTCCAGAAAAAGCAGACTCTGCACTTGAGGAAAAAATGCTAGGAAGAAAAAATCTTGCAAATGAAATAATCCAGTACAGACCACTCAAAATTACAACAGCACTGAAAAAGGGGACTTATGATCATTTTTCACACTTACAACCGTTGCAGCATCCCCATAGTCACATGATCAAAATTCAGATGCTTTGGCAACTGACTCATATTTATGACGGTTGCAGTGTCCCGGAGTCATATGATCATCTTTTGCAACCGTTGACAAGCAAAGTCAACAGGGAAGCCAAATTCACTTTACAAGTGTGATTAACACTTAACAATTTCAATGATTCACTTAACAACTGTGGCAAGAAAGATTGTAAAATGGGGCAAAACTCACTTAACAAATATTCACTTAACAACAGAAAATTTGTGATTCTAAGTCGAGGACTGTCTGTACTACACAGCATAATCTAGAAACATAAAACATCCTCAGTGGAATAAATAATGCATCTGTAGTAAAGATTCAATCAGCAAAATTCTTTCTTTCATTACTCAAAAGAACCTGAAGAAACATATAACAATCTATTCACATTTAGCTAAACTAACATGGGGGGGGGGGGTGTCTCCATCTCAACCAGCTTCTGCAAGCAATCAATGTCAGAGCAAGTCTGACTTCTGAGGGAAAGCTGGCCAAAAGTCCAGGGCCGTGGTAGGAAAATATTACCTCCCACCCCTAAAAGTTGATGAAACTGAGGGATTTTCAGCCTTCTTTTCCAAGGATGTGCACATCGAACCCATTATTACATTCAATTAATTATGTAACTTAATTGATTCCCCACCCCCACTCCCACCTTCAGATAAGTGCTAGCCCTGTTACCTTGATTTCAATCACATCATTTGTGTGGGAATATGAAAAGACAATTAATTGGAAGCTGGCCTCTGCCTAATGCTTATCTCTTAGATAATACTTAGTTGCTTTAGGAATATTATGCAACCGATCTCCTTGGCAATTATCCATTACCGTGTGCCATCTTTGGCTCCTGTTGTTTTTCTCTGCTCCGCAGGTTATCAGTCTCGTCTGGTCTTTTGCACCATTGATAATGAAGCCTATCCGGATTATATGTGCAGAGATAAACCATGGCCAGGAAATAACCGCAGCTGCGGCCTCCAGCCCTGTCCCCAGACAAAACGGTGAGCTTTGATTCGGTTTCTTTCTTCTGTGAGATACCTTGAAATCCAAGAATCAGTCAAAGTCAGAAATAACTTGGTAGTCTCTGTTCGGGGCCCTTGCTACTCTCATATGAAATGCGTGCAGAGAAACCTGAGCCCTCCAAAAGCACAGGTAGCTCTCAACTTACAACCATTCGTTTAGTGACTGTTCGAAGTTACAGTGGCATTGAAGAAACTGACTTATGGTTGGCTTTCACACTTACGACCATTGCAGCTTCCCCATGGTCATGTGATCTAAATTTGGGAGCTTGACAACTAGCATCTATTTATGACAGATGCGCTTTTCTGGGGTCATGTGATTGCCATTTGTAACCTTCCCAGCCAGCTTCCAACAAGCAAAGTCAATGAGGGAAGCCAGATTTACTTAATGACCATGCAATTCATTTAATAACTGCAGGGATTTGCTTAGTAATTATGTCTAAAAAGGTCATTAAACGGGGTAAACTCGCTTAACAGTTGCCTAACTTAGCAACAGAAATTTTGGGCTCAGTTGTGGTTGTAAGTCGAGGCCTACCATACAAGCTAGAATAAAATGTTATCTGAGGAAAAAAATGTTACAATTGGTAAGATAATTGGGTGGGAATAGACGATCTCTTTTCTTTGGGACTTTACCTATTCACAAAATGTTTTCCAGGTTGGGTGTAGCTAATCACACAACACGTAATTTTTATTGATTTATTAATCAAATGTATGTTATTATCTTTCTTTCATTTTTTTAATTGGCAAATTGTTGCTCTCCAAGATGTGCACCATCTTTCTAGACACGATGAACAAAGAAAAAAGTAGCTACGAAATCTACTGTTTTTGTTTTCTAAGCAAGTCAATGCAATCTGTGTGAGGTCCAGGGAAACTATCTGGAAATGAAAATGATGCTAGAAGCTGGTGCTTTGCTTTCCCATCAACCCAGTTAATTAAATTAAAAGCATCTGACTCCTCTCTTAGGAGAAGGGGTCAATATTGCTAAATGAACTAGGAAGGGCAAATAAAAGCTTTCTGTTGGAAGATCATAGCATATTTCCTGATTAGTGGGAAACCGTATTGGAGAGACCCTCCTTGCGTGAAATGCAAGTGGTGAGTGCCAGGAATTCCTTTTCATTTTATCAGAAGACTTTATTATTATTTAGAAAGGATGCTAATTACCAACTGTCTGCAAGGAATATAAATCCTTCCATTCCCCACTATCCTGTCAGAGCTGAAGAAGCTTCTTGGATGAGAAGCGAAACATCTTCAAAAGAAAAAAAAACACAAGAAAGTCCAGTTGCCTCCTGAAAAAAAGCACTTTTGGGACAACCATGACCTGGATGACTGAGAATCCCTTCACACTATTATTTAGAAAGTTTTAGAAATATGAAGTTGTTTCCTCTGTTTTAGCACTAGGATTTTTCTGAGCATAATTAGGTTTCTGCTTGTAATATGAACAGAATACAAAGCTAGCATCCACATTCAGATCTCCAAAAGATGTGTCACAATTTGAACTTTCACAGAGTTAGACCACAATCCCCCCCCCTCCCTTCCCTTGTTCACTATGACCTCTTGCTAATTTCCAAGTACTTAGTGGGTTCTTGTGGCTACAATGAATTTAAAAAATTGGGGCAACTCAAATGAAGAGATCAAACCATGAAAGCATTTTTTTTTTTTTGTTATATGCAACTCTTGGAGGGAGTGATTTGAAGACATGATGAAGGGCAGGGGAAACTGAATTCTCCCCACCACCCACATATTTGGCCTTGATTTGAATTGGCTCTTCTTCTTGTGGGTAATAAAATGCCTGTATGTTTTCTGCATAATAGTAGCTATGGTGGGTGGTCTATTTTGGTGCAGGAAATTGGCATAGCTGCAAACAGGGGGGAAGGCTATTGCCTGCCCATGACCCTGATCCAAATTGGACCCTATCCCAACATCCTTTGGCAGTGTTTTTTGACCTTGGCAACTTGAAAATGTGTGGACTTCAATTCCCAGAATTCCAAGTCAGCCATGCTAGCTGAGGAAGGGCCATGCTGGCTGGGCAATCCTCAGAATTGAAATCCAAATGTCTTCAAATTGCCAAAGTTGAGAAACACTGTGCTAAATCTTTAAAAAATGGCAGCGGAGGTTTTCGATCCGTCATCAAAATCCCTTTTAATTTGGCTCTAAAAGGATAGAAATCATACTGTAAAAGACAGATCCAGATGTCTATATATTTATTATGGGCTTTAAAATCTTTGTTCTATATACAAAGGGTATCTTACCTCTATCTGCCGGGAGCATGGAGCCGCAACAGAGCATGGAACTTGCAAACAAAGAGGTAACTAGGAGAAAGTGGTTCAGCTCTTTTCTTCCTTCGCCTCACCTCCAATAGTGGTTTTCAAGCTTCCTAACCTTAGTAAACAGCTTGTATTCCCCCTCCCCTTGCATTGTTAGCTGCTCATTAAGCAGGAATTTGCTAAAAAACAAACAAACCACAAATTCCTGAGAAATGCTTGTTGAAAGCCACAGACCTAGATTCATGAAATCATACAAAATAGAAAGGTTGGAAGAGACTTCAGAGAGCCTCCATGCCTGGTGAGACTTATACAGGTAGTCCTTGACTTACGACCACAACTGAGCCCAAAATTTCTGTTGATAAATGAAACATTTGTTAAGTGAATTTTGCCCCATTTTACAACCTTTCTTGATGCATTTGTTAAGTGCATTTGCAGTTATTAAGTTAGTAACATAGTTGTTAAGTGAATCTGGCTTCCCTATTGACTTTGCTTGTCAGAAGGTCACTAAAAGTGATCACCTGACCCCAGGATACTGCAACCGTCATAAATATGAATTAGTTGCCAAGCATCCAAATTTTGATCCCCATGGGGATGCTGCAATGGTTGTAATTGTGAAAAACGGTCATAAGTCACCTTTTTCCATGCTACTGTACCTGTGAAAGGTCACTGTTATAAGTCAAGGACTATCTATACTAATATAGTAGTTTAAAGCTTAGTCGTTCGTCCTGTTCATCCAAGCACTGTGACTACATAGCCTCTCTCCAAATTGCTGCTGAAAAGTTGTAATTTGCAGTGTGACAGAAGGGATTATTAAATTCGTAGCAAGCAATCATACTGAGTATGTTCAAACATTTTCATTTACATTCAATTAACGTTAAATTTAATTTAGATAAAAATATACTTTTATCTTGGCTCTACATCCTGGTTGGAGTGTGGCTCCTAGCACACTACTCAAAGGCTGGTGAGGCTCTAAATCTTCCAAAAGTTGAACATCTCTGGTTCCATGAACCTTTGAAGGCTTTTCTTCTAGGTGATGGACTTTGTTCTTAAAGCTTTGGCTTTTCTCCCTAAATAATGGTGTTGGGCAGTCAGTGCTTTTGGCCTTCGTATCCTATGTGAAGAAGGGTGAGAGAAGATAGTTTCTTATTTTTCTTTGTAGCCCAAGAGTTTAGATACCATATCCCCAGTAGCTTCTGCTGAGAAGTTTAGTAAATTAAAAATGAATATTGCTGGAGATTGCTGCATTATTTTATCTAACCTTTCTTTTCTATTTTTCTATATTTTTCCCATACCCATTAGTCTGGATGATAATTATACATATTCAGTTATCTGTCCTCAGGATCAGAGGTCCCTCCATAATGATGAATTACCAACAAGTAGTACAACTGTATTAAAAGTCATATTTCACATAATGAAATTCACTACTACAAGCATGATGATGCCATTTGCTTTGATAACTTCAACAAGGGGCTGGATATATAAAAACAAAATAGTCTTTCAATGGTTATTTACTGTGCTGGATACGTGGCTTTAGGCATGGTAGCCCTTTCATATAAGCGAATGGAAGAGTCCATCTTTCAAGTTTAGCTTGTTGATTTCTTGGTGGCAACTAATTGATTAATAAGCAGAATGCTATAGTGAAGGATTTTTGAGTTGGATTCCTATAACATTGTGAACCATGGCTTGTTTTCATTGTGGTTTGCTAAACATGACATAATCAGGCCTAACTTTAAACCATAAACCACAATAGACGGCTCATACATCAAGCTAAACCAAACTGAAGGACCCCTCAGAGGGCTGGGGTATGAGGAATTAGAATAATTACAAATACTGTTTGGGGAAGTGAAGATATGGCTTAGTTATGTCTTAACCTAATGGGATACCCAGTCTGATCCAGTGGAGCTCCTAGGTCCTACACAGTGATGGGATTCAAGTAATTTAAAAACCGGTTCTCTGCCCTAATAATTTTTCCCAACAGCCAGTTTGCTAAACTGCTCAGAAAGTTAACAACTGGTTCTCCCGAAGTGGTGCAAACTGGCTGAATCCCACCACTGGTCCTACAGAAGAAGATACCAAAAAGGGTTTTGAGCTTTCAAGTTGAATATCTGCACAATTGTTATACAGTTCCCAAATCTTTATTATGCTTTATAATTCAAATCAGACAACAACAAAAAAGAATCTCCCATGTAGGGTCATATATCCCCCATATATCCCCCCATGATAGAATATGGAATATGTGGCTAAATTAGCAGAGAAGTAAAGGTAGCTACAGTGCTATATAGCTTGCAGTGGTCACTCCTGAAACAAAAAATCTTTTGCTATGTTCTTTAACTGTAACTCAAGGGTCCCCAACTCACGGCCATGGCCCATTACCACTCTGCTGTCTGTTCAAAACTGGGCCATGGGAGAGATGGGGAAGCATGCGCATTTCCACTTGCATGAGCAGAGGCTGTTTGCACTTGCACGCAAAACTCCATTAGTGTGAATGGAGCTTCGTATGCTAGCACTCTCTGCTCAAGCACCCCCGGCTTACACACGAGTGCAAGCACCCTCTGCTCATGTGCAAAGCTCCAATGGTGCTATGTGCACACACATGCACCTGCCACTCATATGCCCCCCGGCCAGACTGAGCTACCAAGCTAGAAAGATTGGTTATCGCTGCTGTAACTGTTCCCACGACATGCTAAATCAGGATGTGTTTAACCATGGTGCATTGATTAAATCATAATTGTGTGGGTTCACATAATACATTACATCTTAACCATGATTGATGAGCTGGACTAAAAGAACATATTAAACCACAATCTAACCGGCTGCATTTTGATTTAGCCATTATATGAACTCAGCTAGCACTGCAAGTCTATAGGATAGAGATCCCATTGCCGTTTGAAACATTTCTTGCAAGTTTATTTTATTACTGAATATAGTTCCATGGCAACCTAAAGTAATATTTAACTATAAAGGAAGTAAGTGGTAAAATTCCTCTTGGAATATAAGGCTGAAATTATTTTTTAGGCACTGATCCTTATTCACAGTCTGTTTCCTTCTCTATTCCTATTGAAGGAGCTGTGTAGATTCGCCTCCTGCCAGCTAAGTTATTTTTAGAATAGGACTTCCTCTGAGATGCCATGCTCCAATCCTACAGTCACTCTTCACTGAGCCTCCTATTGGTCTGTAGGCTGTGCCAAGATAGTTGAGGTTATTTGTGCAGTTTCTGTTGAAAACGACAGCTTGAGTTGGCTGTTTGACTGCCTGGAATTTTGATTAAAGCCCAGCCTTGCTACTCCTATTTGCAGCATTGGGTTTCTCCCAAATTTAGAAAAGTCAAGTTAAAAGAAGAGTTTTATGTCAATGCATATACAGAGAGAAGCATGTTTCAAGAGTATCAAAAGTATCGAAATCTGATTAATTCATATTTTATTCAAAGTGTAGCCCCAGACTAGACCCTGGAGATCTCCCAAAGATCAGCCCTCCATCCCAAATGCCCTGGACCACATTGATAGCGAGTAGTGTTAGGTATAAATGTGCAAAAAAATAAATTTCACAGGCACATTTTTACCTGAAAATAAAAAAATTATCCAGCTACTTTTAGATATAGTGGGAAAGATATTGGGACCCTGCAGGTACAAAACCCATCTAATATACACTGCTCAAAAAAATAAAGGGAACACAAGCAGAAGACATCCGAGATCTGAATGAATGAAATAGCTTTATTAAATACTTTGTTCGTTACATACAGTAGTTTATACACTGCTCAAACAACTAAAGGGAACACAAAACTACTGTATGTAACGAACAAAGTATTTAATAAGGCTATTTCATTCATTCAGATCTCGGATGTCTTCTGCTTGTGTTCCCTTTATTTGTTTGAGCAGTATATTTATTTTAAACATGCATAGCATCTGCATAATATAGGTAGATCATACAATAATCATATTCCTCATGCAGAATCTGGGGTTTGTGTTAATATAGCTCTTGGTGTTGCAACCCCTTAAAAGTAGTGGCATTCTACTACTCTCTCCCAGAGAAAGATTCCCTCCCTTTCTAAATCTTTCCTGAGGCCTTTATTAATACTTCATCTCAAATGGTCTTTTTGATTCCTTTCATTCACTTCCTTTCCATGATTTGGCACCCCTGTTATTTTTAATGCTACTAGGAATTTCCATTGTGCCCCTGATTGGAATTCCTGGCTTTGAATAGGACCGTGTTAATTCCTGTATTTCAGGCGTCTTTTTCCTAACCCTTGCTTACTAGCTGGATAAAGCCTGTGATCCAGAAAGCTCATCCCAAGAACTAATCATGAGAAATTTTTGTTCTGGGAAGCTCTCTTGTGACACCAGTGACTCCTCGGATCCTTGAGAGTTATTTTTTAAACATTTGTTTTTAGCTGGAAAACTGGCGGCTGGAGCCAGTGCTCTGCCACCTGCGGAGGAGGCATTCAGAGCCGTTCAGTTTACTGTGCCTCGTACAATGGACATCATTTTCAGGATGCTGTGGATGATACTGAATGTGCTTCCTTAACAGAGAAGCCACGCAGCACACAGCCTTGCAACCTGCAGCGCTGTGCAACATGGGTCTCAAGTCCTTGGTCTGAGGTGAGTTTTTTCTTCTATGTGCAATATCTGTACTGAGACAGGATTGGTCCAGCTTTTTCTGCACTTTGGGGAGAAGAAGATAATCTAGCCCCAGGGCACCCTTGAGGCACCCTGATTTGCCTAGTACTCCGAGTTTGTCGATCAGAAGGTCGACAGTTCAGCAGTTCGAATCCCTAGTGCCGTGTAACAGGATGAGCTCTCGTTACTTGTCCTAGCTTCTGCCAACCTAGCAGTTCAAAAACACGTAAAAAATGCAAGTAGAAAAATAGGGACCACCTTTGGTGGGAACAGCATTCCATGCGCCTTTGGCGTTTGGACATGCCACATGACCACGGAGATGTCTTTGGACAGCTCTGGCTCTTCGGCTTAGAAATGGGGATGAGCACCGCCCCCTAGAGCCAGAAACGATTAGCACGCATGTGCGGGGGAACCTTTACCTTTACCTTAAAGCGTTGGAAGTACAGGTAGTCCTCATTTAGTGACCACATTTGGGATTGGCAGCTCAGACATTAAATGAAGAGGTCACAGAGTGAAACTGTGCTAAAGATCTTACTTCAATTTCCTTTGCTTTATAGACTTGTAAAAGGTATAAAAGCAAGGATTGGCCATCAAGTTATTTTTTCATTGCTTTTGTAACTAAGCAGTTGCTAAACAAGGACTACCTGTAACACAATAGAATTCTGTAATATTGGGGCTTATTATAATTCTGTGTGCGCCTGTGCTACAAGTACAGAGTGAGATTAAATACAAGATGTAGAGCAGTGGTGCTATTCATCCGGTTCTATCCAATTTGGGCGAAATGGTAGCGGCAGCTGCAGGAAGCTCCGCCCACCCACCCAGACATCATCACATCCTGTTTTTGACGCTCTGCGCATGCGCTCCCATTTGCAAACCAGTAGCGAAGGTAAGTGAATACCACCCCTGATGCAGAGTGGAAGTTGATCTAGGACCATGGGGGAGGGGGGTAAATTGGAATCTACCATAGATATGGAAGCTCAGTGTAATCTTAGGCGGGCCATTTCCTCTCAGCCCAATTTGACTGACTGATTGATTAAATGTATATGTTCCCCCATCTCATCTTATAAGTTACTATATAATTTACCTTGCAAGATTGTTTTTGTGGGAAAGCAAAGGAAGGTCACTATATATGCATCTTAGAGGAAAAATAGGATATAAATCTAACAAATAAATAAAAATGTATAAATAAAATACATAAATGCTCAAATATCATTTAACTGGTTGTAACTTTAAAACATGTATTTAAAATTAGAAAAATTACAAAATATATACATAAAAATAGAACAATTATTTTAAAAAGACGGAAGTCAGAAAAAACAGAAGAGAAAAAGCCCAAACCAATTCAAAAAAAAAAAAGGATGTATCTTAAAGTTTATAAAATAAAATAACAAGCCACAATTGTACTTCTCCACCAAAAGAAATCAAACTCCATGACAAAATCTCTCGAACTGCCCATATGTTCTTGAATGTTCTGAATATGCCTGAATGTTCTTCTGATGCCATAGCATTTCAATGAAATGTTGAACACCTGAATACTGAAAAAGAGATCTTTATTCAGACTTGTAGACTATGCAGAACAAATTAACATCAGAAATAGAGAAGTGTGTCATGCAATGCAGATTATTATTATTTACTTTATTCATTAAACATGAAACTCAGTCAACTGAACATTCAAAAATGCATCACAAATACCATTGACTGGTGCTAATGGTTGATACGGGTTGCAGCCAGCGTCCTAGGTATCAACTTATTATTATTATTATTATTATTATTATTATTATTATTATTATTATTTATTATTATTATTATTATTATTATTATTTACAGTGTTCAGTAAGCTGTGGTGAAGGTATTCAAACCAGGACTGTAAGCTGCCAGGTTGAACAGGGCTCTCAGATTCTAGATATTGCTTGCTTGAGAGAACCAAAACCTCAGCATACCCAGCCCTGTATCGGGGAGAATTGTATACAGGAGATTGGCTGGCATATCGGAGACTGGGGATTGGTGAGTATGACACATATTTCCCTAGAGGAATAGTCCAATTTTTGTCCCTTCGCTGCTCCCTTTTTCACATTGTTGCAAAGACCCATCTGCATCCATGCAATATTTGTTGATCTCCTGGGATAATGAAAATAACCACAAGAAGGATGTCACCAACCTGAATAGCCTGTAGGACAAAGTTAGAGCATGGTCACAGCATAGATATTTAATCAATGGCTTTTTGGGGCAGGATGGTGATATTCACATGATCTTATCTTCTGGAAATGAAACTATAAAGTGTCTTAGTTGTAATTGCCTGTAAGAACAATTGCCTGCAGAACCTTTAGGCCGGGGTCAGAACCTGCAGCTCTGGAGCCGCATGTGGCTCTTTCACCCCTCTGCTGCGGCTCCCTGTCACTCAAAATATGCATCACAACCACCAATGTGCAACACCCGCTGGTACATGATTTATTGAGCTTTTCAACCCCGGTAGGCCAACCCTGGATAAATACAAGAAAAGTTTCAGAACAAAACAGAACGTTTAATTCAACTACTTATGCTAGTTTTATGGCCGTTCAAGAAATAGTCAGGCATGGGAAGGGTTTTGTGGCTCCTGGTGTTTTCTTTTCTGTGGGAAACGGGTCCAAATGGCTCTTTGAGTGTTTAAGGTTGGAGATCCCTGCTTTAGTCTATTCCTGGGCCTTATTTATCAGTCCTACTATGGTAATTGACCTGGAAATAACTAATTCTACCAGGTCTTTCTTCTTTACCAGTTTCTTTCCCTGATGTGCCATGATTTTAATGTTTTGGGATGGTAATTTTCAGAATTCCAAGTTAGAATGGCTGCAGGAAGACTGGAGGGTTCCAGATTGGAAAACCTCCAAGTAGTATTTGCAGACTTGTTCCTTGACATTTCACCCACAAGGTCTCTGGCCCCTTGGTGATTCTTTGCTCCTCATCTGATGATTCTTTGCTTCTCATCTGATTGTCCATTGTTTTAATTCTTACCATTTTTTGATTAAGTGCTCAAAAAGCTGCAGTTCTGGTATCCGAACCCGCCAAGTCATCTGTGCTGATGGTGATTCCAAATTCTATAGTCATGAGATTTGCCAAGAGATACAGCCACAGATACCAACCATGCTTGGGAGCTGCAATACACAACCTTGTCACCTGCCCCAGCGTAAGTACAAAGTGCTGGTATCTCAGCATCTACTTCCAAGACAGCAGGGATGTTAGAATAGATAGGAATGCCACCGTCATACAGTTTAACTGCTAGGCCTTTCCATTTTATATATGTTAAATTATACCTCTTATGAAACATCCTTTACAGAAATGTTGAGCTGATGACTCAGTATTCTTCATGTCCTATGTTTGATTGCTGACTTATTTAAAAAAATGGGGTGATGTAATACATGTTGGAATAAATGAGGTTAGCAAAAAACGAGTGAACTCCTGCCTTAGTAAGTTGGACCTTACCAGTCAAACATTGAAGTCAGTAAATTAATTTCAGGAGTGCAGTAAGAGAAAAAATATTTTTATGATTTGTGTTTTGTGGGGATTAAACGCAGGAGGCTCATTCAGATCACATGTGACTTGATTTATATTTTGTTCTTCCAAATAAAAATGCTAAGCTTAAACCTTAGACTTTTTAATATCCAAACATTTGTTCTCTAGTACCGAATTATGATTTTCTTAGGTCACATCAGAAATCTGTGATTTCTAGAAAATCTAGAAAGCACTGAAAAAAATAATTGGTTTGTTGTTGTGTTACTGTTAAAGGTGGTTTTGGGGGAGAAAGTTCATTGTCTTCTCGCTTCCCAATATTATTATTCCAGAGAAACTAGTATCAAATTGAGTTGATGATTTGCTACCAATATCAAGCCAGTCAGAATCAATTTTTTTTTAAAAGTCAATGCTGCTGATTTCTAAAGGAGCCTCTGACAACTTACTTTGTCCTGTGATCCACGCTTTCTGTTGGTGCCCTGGTTGGGTGGAAGCTGAAAGGGGCTTGACATGACCAAGCACCATGACCCTGTGATATTATTGGAGTTGGTGGAGCTAGGTTTCTCTACTCAGTTTTTTCCCCTTAAGTTTGGGGAAATTTTAAGGCTAAAAGAAATGCTTGGAGACTTACTAAAGTTTAAGGCACCCATTTGATGCTTTAAAACCACTCCAATAAAAATCAGCCCAGTTTGGAAGATATTATGGTTATCCACTTTAATGTACATATATTTGATTTATAAATCCCTCAATTATTGTGTCAACTCTAGGAAAATACCTTGAAAAACAAGAATAGAAAAAAGAAAATCAGTAATAATAGTATCAGCATAAAAGCTCACTACTGCTATAAATAAAAAACATTGCAATCAAAATAGAAAACAGAGGTCACGGGCCATTGTCGTCTTCCTAGGGCTGAGAAAGAGGGACTGGCTCAACATCATCAAGCTGGCTTTGTGCCTAAGATAGAATTAGCATTCATGGTCTCCCAGTTTATAGCCTGATGTCTTAACCACTACAACAAATTAAATAATTCTCTCATCAAGAATTAGAAGTGGAAAATCCCTGAAAACATAGGGTCCTTGAATCCATAGTACCGGATCTTTCTAAAGTTGAGCTTAAATTTGTACTTCCCCATCCAGATCCTAATAATCAGAGAAGAACCTCAGCAATATCATTTGATTGGCCAGAGTAGAGATACTCAACTGAGTAACATCCACATATTAGTGATATCTGACCCCATACCATTAGATAATATCACCCAGCTAGTTCATGTAGATATTAAAGAAGAGCACAAAGTGTCAAACCCTGAGGAACTATGCAAAGCAGACATCTTGATTTGCCAGTATTCCTGGTCAACAATCTTAGGCTGAATTCTCCACCCCACCAATGCTATCTGGAGTCTACTCAAGGGAAAAGAGCATCAGTACTACTGCCTCCTACTCCCAACCCTTGGAAATGTTCCCCCAAAATACCACAATCAATAGTATCAAAAGCCATTGAAGTCAAGTAAGACCAGGAAAGTCTAGAAAAACTAAGGAACTCATTTCATCCTTTAAATTTTCCCTAAAACAATAAAAAGAACAGGGAAAACAAAGGATCCCAAGTTTTTGGCTCCACACCAGTGATGGGTTGCCCCCCGGTTTGCACTGGTTCTATAGAACTGGTAGTAAAACCAGTGGGAGGCTCCACCCATTGACTCTGATGTCATGAAAACGCTTCTTCGCTTGCGCAGAAGAGCGTGTGCGCGCGGCCCCGTTGCGAACCGGTAGTAAGGGTAAGTAGAACCCACCCCTGCTCCACACACTTCGGGAGTTTTGGAGGGGATATTATTAGGGTACTGGAGAGCCAAATGGGAATTCATTGCACTTTTGTATTACATTTTAACTTACTTTCCTTTTCTTGAAATTTTGCCTCTTTCTTAAGGAATATTCATGTTTTCCACTGTATACTCTGTCTGGGTATTAAAGTCTGTTTTCTAATGGAGCTTTATTTCCTTCTATTTTATGGTGCCATTTTAACACTACACAGCAAAGTATTGTGTAGGTTCCCTTTAACTGATGGTTGTGGGAGTAGAGTTATTTGTTTTTGTTTTTTTACACAGAATAATACAGTATATTTATTTGTATTCCTGCAGAGGTTCCCAGTATGCAAGACATCACAGGGTACAATATCAGTCGTCGGACATTACTGACCCGCTACCGTCCTGACCAAGGCACTGAAGGTTCGGAAATGCCAAGTTGGCCTTCCTTCAACTAGTGTTATTTCGCTTTTCTCTGAGTAGCTTTTTGACATTTTCCCCTTTCCCATTTTTAAGGAAATGGAAGTTTTAGAGGCTATAGTTTTTTAAGGAAAAAGCTTTGGGCTCCCTTAGTCCTGCCTTCATTTTCCAGCTTTTCTTAGTGACGGTGATACTGGCAAAGGTGACATGACTATGAAGATGGGGGGATAAATTGATATCTGCTTCCACCCCTAGTCACTAATGTAGTGGGAACCAGTGTACACATTTGGAAGTTGTAGAGCATGTTATAGCTATGTGAGAGAAAGGAGCTCCCTATACACAAAATAGTGGCCATGATGACCTGCCAATCACATACATGCAACAAATCACCTAGAGCCTAGAATATGCTAGAGGTTGCTGCTTATCAATAACACACTGGGAGTCCCAGTTCTAATACCTCACTGCAGATCCACCTTATGCTTTGTCTCAAGTCTTCAATGAATTTGAATGACACAACTAGTGTTTCCGGAGTAGATCCTAAGAATAATTTATGGCTATGCAGAAGGCATAGGGCAACCCTTGCCTGACAGTATTTCTAATTTCTAACTTAAAGATACCAGAATTTTCTCAGGCAATTCTTAAATCATGTGTCTTCTGGTACTTTACAAATTTCCTGAAAAGTGGGAAATCATGCTGTCCTTTGATTGAATGTGTCAATTTTACCTAAAAATTATATTGAGCTAGCCTTGACTCCTAAGGCAGTAGACACTTACCGCTTCTTGACTAAATGGCTTTCTTGTAAGTGAATTATCTTCTTCTGGGATAGTATTAGTATTTCTTGGACTACCACATTTCTGGATTTCTTGGTGGTTGGCTATATTAACTAAGTGCAATCCCTGTTTTGCTTTGAGGAGAGAGGGATCAGCCAAGATGACCAAGGAGCTTTTTCCTTGACTTTCACCCAAGCTTATACTTTTTGCTTCAGTTCCATGCTTCATGTTTCCTCATAGGGATAGTCAATAAGAAACTATAAATAAGAGGCAAAGGGAATACAGAATTCTGAAATCTGATCATGCTCAGTGCTCTTGAGTCTTAAATGAGTATAAAATATGAAATGAAATGGTATTCATTCTATATCCTGTGCATACTGCATTCAAATGAAGACTCTCCACAATATGTTGTCCAATATGCCATTTAGCCCCAGTGGGGTCTACGACAACTCACCACAGCCAATTTGTCATAGCCAACTCACCATACGCAACTCGCCATGGGACAATTCACCACACAGCAACTCACCGCAGGACAAGAGTTACACTAATAGCAAAGAAATAGTGGTATAGAATCGTTAAAGAAAGGATGCCAAAGGAGGGGCAAAATGAAATGTGAATGTCAAAAATTAAAATAATTTTTTAACTATTTTAAATAATTAAGTTGAATTGTTGAATTGTCCCACAGCAAATTGTCCTATGGTGAATTGGCCATGGAGAGTTGTCCTGTAGTGAATTGGCTGCAGTGAGTTGTGCCATTCTAGTATAAATGGCCTTTTCAAGAGTCCAGTACTACTTTTCAAGAGTTGCAATACTCTTTCTGATTTCTGGAAAAAGAAGAAGGATAAGTTTCAGGTGAAAAAAAAGAAGAAGAAAACTTTTCTTGCTTCTCCCACAATGTGTTCAGGTTTCAAATCTGTATGCCAGACCTTACTATGTAGTAATATAAAGTAGAGCTGCTAAACCTCTCTATCATTTCCCCATGCCTGTTAAGTTTTCCATCCATATTATAGGCAGGAAAGTATGTAAGTATAAAAAATTAATAGCACACTTCTTTATTCTCTTGATCCTAATCTTCCCATCAAGCTCCTAACTCCTCCTGCTCCCCCTTTATTATTACCTTTCTGTCTGATAACTATAGCTACAGCTGCAAAATAATCTTCCTGGGCTCCTAGAAAGTAAATCTAGAGAAACTGTTTACTTCCAGGCAACCTGTCCATCCAACAAATCCTTTGAGTGTTTATTCCCATTTTTGCTCCCCAAAGATTTGATCTGTGTGAAAGGGAAAAATCATGAGAAAAACATAAGAGGAAGATCATAAGAACTGGAAGGTATTATCTTTTGTCCTCTCCCTAGTTCTGTGAATGAAGCAAGGAGTTTGCTCAATATTAATCAACTTGCCTGGGTAGCTGCTAGCTAAGTCTTTGGACCATTTCTATTTCCCTGAGGATTTTTCCAGGTTATATGCATATACAATTACGGAGCCTCAGCTATGATCCTAATGACATTGTAAACAAACAAACAAACAAACAAACAAACAAAAACCACTATTTTAAGTAGGGTAGTTTTATTTTGTTGTCAAATTAATAGACTCAGTCTTGCAATTGATATTCTAGGAGAGCCATGTTGGTCTTTGGTAGCCAAAATCAGGACCTAGCACCTTATCAGAATAACAAATTGAGAAAGACTAACTCACTTTATTAGAGGTATGGAGTGACCACCAAAATGTATGCCTTATAATAACATTTGTTAACCTAATAAAGTGGTACCAGACTCCTCCTCATTTCTAACAATTGATAGTAGAGATCATTACTCTAACATAGGAATGTTCAGACTTTCTGCATTATGACTGAGTGCTACACCAAGTGATAAGCCTTGTACTTGTACAGGTGATCTATGTCAGATGAGCAAGAATGCGGTAGGTTGAGGGAAGGTGCAGAGATATTGGGGTAAAAGAAAATAGAGAAACCTGTGTGTAGATCTCACCACTACCTCTACCTCATCACCTTTAGTACCTCACCACCAGTGGTGGGTTGCTACCAGTTCTCCCCTGTTCTTGCGAACTGGTAGCGGAAATTTTGAGTAGTTCGGAGAACCGGTAAATACTACCTCTGCCTGGCCCCGCCCCCAATCTATTCGCTGCCTCCCGAGTCCCAGCTGATTGGCTAGAAGGAAAAAAAACTGTTTAAACTCTTGCTGCGGCGCTTCAAAGCTCCGTCCTACAGCTGATCAGTGGTAAAAGGCAGTGTGGTGGTAGACTAGTGCGCTCCAAAAAACAAATAGGTAGATCGGTGTGCTCCAAAAACAAATGGGTAGACTGGTATGGCTTTGCAAACAGTTAAAAGCCTGGTAGACCAGTACCTCTGCTTAATCCTAAAGAATTGTCACATGACCATCAAACCATGCCCACAAAATAAGCCATGCCCACAGAACCAGTAATAAAGAATTTTAGAACCCACCCCTGTTCACCACCTAATAAGAGTTTGCCCCAATGAAATATGATTATAAGCTATATAACATTGTATATTATGTTTTCTTGATGGGTACACTTTATCTCCTATATTTTTCAGTTTCTAGACATGAAAGAATAATCCAAACTGGCTCTACTCATCACCAGGTCCAGCTAAATGAGAGTCCTCGCTCCAATTTCTTACCTCTTGGATGGGATAGTGACTCAGACTCTTCTGTGTCCCGTCGGTCCCATTCTTATCCAAATGGTGGTAATGATCAAGACTGCAACCATACTCCTCATGGCTGTTGTTCAGATGGTCGCACTGCTGCAGCAGGTCCCTTTGGCCAAGGTTGCCCACTTGATTCTTGCCATCTGAGCAGGTAGGACTAGCTCACTGAATGAGCAATTTGCAGGCAAAGCTGATATATTGGGTTGCTTTCAACGTTACTGGTTTTCCACCCCCCAGATATGGGTGCTGCCCCGATGGAATATCACGTTCCCAGGGACCTAACCAAGAAGGGTGCACACAATACTACAGTGATGTTTACATAAGCAGAAATCCTGTTACTCCCACTCCAACAGTAAGTGAGGCAAACTTCTATGCATTCTAGAAGACATGTTGGAATATAGTTATTTCCCCTTAGCTATGCCCTATACAATGGCTGCGTTTATCCAAAATCAGTGCTGTTTCTCTATGTCCTCTTGATTAATCTGATTTTTCCATAGACACCTGCAAACTGAATTAGGTTCAAAAGTTCATCAGCTCTTCTGCCCCTCCAGATGAAAAGCTAGAGAAGGTTCCTTCCAACTCCACAATTCTACGATTTTTCTATTTCTACAGACAATTCCTCCAAGTTCTCGCTAAGATAGAGTAAAATATTATAAAGTGCTTTGTTGTCTTTCACAGGGTGTAATGGGCTATTTCCATTCATCACATTAAAGTTAGCAGTGTAGCTTTTTGATATTTTATTCTGTAAGAAAAATGTAACTGAATTATGAATTGTTTCTGGGATTGAGTCAGTTGAATGTGCTACTTCATAAACACTGTTGAATGGTATAATCTGAGTAACACCTGGTTTTCTCTAAGACAAGCCAAGTTCTTGCCCAGCAGCTGCCGACAGAGGAATGCCGAGGTTCTATGTATGGTTGTTGCTATGACAACATTGCCTCTGCTTTAGGGCCTCAAGGGGAAGGATGTCCCACAAGACTCAGCCAATGTAAGTGACATTTGGTTTTTGAAATGTAATTTCACATTTAGTACTTTCTAGCAAAATGGCAGCAACCAATGGAATCGTTTTAGTGGTATTTTATATGTACAGGTGATCTTGCTTAATGATGGCAATTGTGGTCTCCAGTTCTGTCATTAAACAACGCAGTCATAAAGTACATCACATGATTCTGTTGACTTGTGATGGCAGTTGCTGTAGTTCCAGTTGCCATTGTCATGCGAATCTTGTGTAGTCACAGCATACTCTAGTCATGTGATCACCATGTGCAACTTCCTGCTAACTTCCCTGTTGAATTTGCTTGCCAGAAGATGGCAGAGAATGTCAGTCACATAAGCACTGCAACAGCCACAACTATAAGGAACAGTTGTAAATCCCCTCATAGTTCATCAATAGTTTGATGAAAAAGTGGTCACTGAATGTGGACTACTTATGTACTATAAAATCAAAAATCTGATTTAAAAAGACCTGTCAGAGTTCAACCTGAAATATATAAATATCTTTATATCTAAATTCTATTGTTTATATTTCTTGCATAGAAAAATATTTTGTGCTTTTGTAATAAGGTTTTGAAGAATTTGTACATTCTATGCTCTTCATAAGAAAGACTCACCAATACATTTCTGTTTTGAAGTAAAACTTGTTCAGGCTCCCAGATGAAATCACTTGTATTCATACATATCACACAAGTCCCTTTTGTGTAGTGTTTCCCAACCTTGGAAACTTCCTGGTGTGAGAACTTCAACTCCTAGAATTCTCATCGATGGTGATGCTAGCTGTGGAATTCTGGGATCTGAAGTCCACAAATCTTGGGATTGCCAAATTAGGAATTACTGCTTTAGGGGAAGCAAATTCATGCAGGCATGGGAAAAAGTACAATATAAGAAACCAAAGAACTTGATAACATGATAAATAAAAAACATACAAATATCATTTCTCTTCTGGCTTTTGTTGCTAGCTTATCCTGTCCAGTGTCTGTTACCCAGTGCCCATGGTTCCTGCACAGATTGGACCATACGTTGGTATTTTGTAAGCGATGTTAGAAAATGCAATCGTTTTTGGTATGGAAGTTGCCATGGGAATAAGAACAACTTTGCTACTGAAGAAGAATGCATGAAAGCCTGCCATGGATCAATGGGAAGAAGCCATGTGAGTCTTCACCATCATATTGCAAGTCCTAACATCCACTCTAGTTCTCAACTGCAAGAAGGGAACACAGAAGTAAAGCCACAACAATTTGGAAGAACTGTAACTCATAGAACAGGAAATGGAGGTCATAGTGATAGGACTTCCTCCAATCAAGATGCCTTACCTGAATCTGAGCAAGGAACTAGCTTGCTAGAAAACCAGCCAGAAAGTTCTCATCACTCAAAAACTCTTGATGAAATAAAAAGGGACACAGTAGATCATTCGCATGGTTTGAGTGAGACTGTGATTTCCAGACACTCAGAGAAGCAGCTGACTGTGAATGGCCAGACCACTCAACATGAGCGTGAAGAGTGGAGGAGGGAATCAGGTGCAGATGGGTTAACATGGAGAAGATTTGGGTATCAAACCCCACCAGAGTCCACTTTTCAATATTCTCTGAACAGGTACGTATTTGCATTAGCACAGAAATATTGAAGATGTCTTGCTAATTTTTTAGAATCATGCTTCATACAAGTTCCCATCTAATCCTCTATGTATATCCATTTTGGGGGAAACTGCTGCATATCTTTCAGGATCTTCTTGGATGGACCAGAATCTTCTGCAGTGGAGGCAGGCCTAGGACAAAGCATTCGTCTTCTCTGTAAGACGGACAATTCCCACTTCTCTAGAGTTGAATGGCAGAAAGACGGACAGCCGATCTCCTATGATAGGTAGGTCTGACCCCTGGATCCACCTCCTTATACCCTTTGAATGGAACTTTAAGATCATAGGTTTCACATTTGAAATTCGTCAGTATCTAAACCTACAACCTGGGATCATGTTATGAACTTCAGTGAGGTTTACATGCATGCTTCCATTGCTGCATTGCAGATAATCCTTAATTTACAACAGTTTGTTTAGTAACTGTTTGACATTACAATAGCACTGAAAAAAGTGACTTATGACCATTTTTCACACTTACGACCATTGCAGCACCTCCATGGTCACAAACTTTAGACGCTTGGCAACTGGTTGTAGTGTCCCAGAGTCATGTGATCCCCTTTTGCGACCTCCTGACAAGCAAAGTCAGTGGGGAGCCAGATTCATTTAACAATCATGTCACTAATTTAACAACTGCAGTGATTGACTTAAGAACAGTGGCAAGAAAGATCACAAAATGGGGCAAAACTCACTAAATAAATGTCTTGCTTTAGCAACAGAAATTTTGGGCTTAACTGTGATCATAAGTTGAAGACTAACTGTATTTCACTGTCGTCACATAACCAGTAAAAAACCTGCCAGCGATTCATCTTTAGCATCACTCTCTTGCTCTTATTCCCATAACCAACCAAAGTAATTACTATTAATATGCATTTGACAGTTAACTGAATATGTCATTCTATGTCAACTGATTCTGTCAGTGACTGTCACTGAGTTGCTGCAATCTCCAGTCTACCATATTTGACAATCCTTTAATCTTCTTCCCCTGTAGGCATACCTACCAGTCTGACAACTCTCTGGTGGTTAGCCATCTCAGGACTGAGGATGCTGGCATCTACACGTGCATAATTTCAAATGGGAGGGTGGAACGCAGACAGATTGAATTGCTGATCAAAGGTTATTTCATTCTTCGTTATTCAAAACAGCCATAAAGCAAGAAACTGCTTGTCCTGATATAGCCAGCAGGTCATTCTACAATTCTTTTTTCATCAATGGAAAATGATATCCTTTCCAAATTGCATCAGAGTATAAAACCCATGCTCTCTTTATCCAGGGAACCACTTTCTTGCTCTGTGGTTCCAATGCTTGGAAAGCTCTCCTCCACCTTATGGGAAACTTAGTATAAGGAAAATGTCCTAGCCAAACAAACCCTGGAAAGAACCATCTCTTTGTCAGCCCCCAAAGGTTTCTGAAAGTCAAATCTTGATGGCTTCTTTGTTCTGTTTCTTTGTATAGAAATCCCTCAATCTACCCTCACCCAGGGAAGAAGGCATCAACTTACTTATGATCAGAATCACCAGCCCAGAGTCTTTGGCACAGGAACTAATGACAGGTGGTCACATGTTTCTTCTCTGCATCCTCAAATAACATACAGGTATATCTTTCAACTTCCCAAAGCAGCTCATGTTCCACATATTGTGCTGTGTGCTCTTTAGAGATGCATTTGGAAGCTGATCAAACAAGAGTAAGCTATTTAATCATAGTGCTATTGTATCTAATCTTAATGCTTAGAAATCAGCCCTGCATTTTCTTTATGGCTACAACACAGGAGCAACTCTAACCTAGTTCTTTTTTAAGAAGCTTTTTTTTTTCTTTCTTTCTTTCTTACTGGTTGGACCTGATGATCAGGCAACTGAAAGAACCTAAGGGACTTAATTTAAGCAACCATTGATATCAAAGTGTTTTAATGAAATCATTTTATGCCTTAGGGCAGGCAGTTTTCTGTATTTTGCTTGGCTCCTTGAGGAACCTACTGTTAGAAGGAAACAATCATTAAGAAATTAATTACTGTGTTTAATAAATATTCATTGTAGAAATAAAACTATATCTGCAGGAAAGAGATTCTAGCAAAACAAGGTCTCTTATACAGACAAGCAATTATTTAAATAGTTTATTTTCACTGATCACTGGGCAGTTTTGTAATAAAACTCTGTGGCCTGCTTGCAGCCCAGGCTCAGAAGCATCAGCAGCTCAAAATTGCTTCTTTTGCGTAGGTGGGTATCCTCTCATTAAGTACCATGAGTCACATTCTAGAATGTCGCTACACTAAAAAGAACTAAGAAATGCTGCAGTGAGAGAGATGACGAAATTTAAGGGTTTATCTTTAGCAACTTGTCTTTTTTTAAAAAAAAAGGGGGGCTCAGTATGGCAGTGGGGTTGAGTACATCATTTCAGTGACGAGGGTAACTATCAGGCCACCTTCTGTCACGAAAGCTACCCAGAAGAAAGTGTAAAAATGGAATAGGTAATCTGCCATTCCCAGTTCTAGTCATTGATCTCTGAGGCATCCATCTGTAGCAACTGTCACTAGCTTCAATAATTGGAAATAATTCTCCTCTCAAAAACTAAAGTGCATGCATGGAACATTATCAAAGGGAGTGGGAGTCATTTGTTTTACAATCATGTGCCATACGTATTCAGTTACTCTATTCCTTATTCTTTCTTGCAGCAAACCTCCTAACCTACTGTGTCTGGATTAACAGGCTGGCATAGGTCCCCAGACAGCTGCATGATTTTGTTGAAATTCTTGCCGAAAGCATCACACATGGTCAGATAAATTATAAGGAGAACATTCTGTTACATGGGATTCTCGTGGCTAGCAGCATTATCTGGGCCTTTAGCCAAGGGAACAGTTAAGAGGGATGTATTTATACAAACCTACATTTTGTAAAGTGTTAAGAGAGAGCTGCACACTTGTTGAAGGAGAATCCCTGTAATGGTCCATTTATGTTCAAATCATGATGAAAGGAGAGAAGGGCTAAAGTTCAATTATGTAATACAGATGCATTTAATTTATCGAATTTATACACCCTTTTCAGCTCGTTCTGTAAGGAGATAATGTCAGGGTTAATCAGGTTTCCTCCAATAGAAGGAAAAGCAATACTTCCAGCCATCTCTCTCCCCCAAGCTTCCTGAAAATGGGAAACAACCAGTTCCTTCTCTTCATAATTGGTTTTTTAAATTTTGGGCCAAATTTATATAGATTTTAATTGTTTTTAATATTTGTATTTCATGTTTTTAATTCTGGCTGTGCACCGCCCTGAGTCCTCAGGGAGAAGGGAGGTATATAAATTGAAAAATAAAATAAAATAAAATAAATAAATAATTGAATTGGTCTGGGCGACTCCAGTGGAGAATGCAGATTTACAAGAAACTTGGAGCCAAATCATAAATGACTCTCTAGGTTAAAATCAGTACTTTAAATTGCAGTTAAAGGTTAATGTGAAGCCAATGTACAGCCAGGAATAAGATGTAATGTATTCCCATCTACAACTGCTAATGAGCATTCTGGCATTTTACGCAATTGAAAATTCTGGATAGCTTATAAATATCCATATAGAGCCTGATACAGTACTCTAGATGTATGATGACGGGGCATGACTCACTTCAGTAAAGTTAGCTTGGTCGCTCAACAGAGACACTGGTGAAGCGGGCATGGCAGCGCCTGCATTTTCTGTGTCACATGAGGAAAGTACATCTTCCTCCCCCTGTCCTTACCACTTTCTATAGAGGGACGATCGAGAGCATCCTGTCATATCGCATTACAGTCTGGTTTGGAAGCATTACTGCTTCGGACAGGAAGGCGATGCAGAGAGTGGTGAGGATGGCAGAAAAGATTGTTGGTAGTTCACTTACTTCTATCCAGGACATAGCATGTAAGCGACACTTGACTAGGATCCGCAGTATGTATGTGTATAGATATATACTTTATTTAGAGAGCAGGCAACAGAATTTCATTTTTATTGTGTGGCAGTGTAATCACAGTAAAAATGACAATAAAGATTATCTTATCTTAAAGTCCTCATGTCTCAGATAAGTTTGTAACTAGTGCCACAGCCCAAGATGGGCAAAGGCTTATCTAGCCAAGGTTGCCAACTGCTGAGCTAGTAGGAATCACAAATCCTTGGACATACACTCAGCAGATCCTTTGTTGTTCTCCACTTGTGTTCCAGGCCTTACTTCTACCACTTTATTCCCCAGCTATTTTCTCAAAAACCAGGAAGCCACCCAGAGACAGAGAGAAACTGCTCTGAAATTATTTTGCCTTGGGCCTGAGATATCATCTTTTGCCAATGGCAAACCTTGCCATTGACAAGGAACTTTTCAGCACTTGCTGAAAAGAGTGATTAAAATGAAAGAAGGAATTCTGATCCTTCTTTAAAACATTTACTGCATCTACTTTGCAGGTTAAAAATGTATAAGAATGAGCCTTCGGTAGTTGATGGTAGCATTGGCGAACAAGTCAGACTGCCTTGTCGTGTAGAGGCTTCCCCCTCCTTAACCATTGAATGGCAGAAAGATGGCCGTCCTATTTCATCTGCCAGGTAAGTTGTGTCTTTGACAATATTATTCTCTCCTTTTGTTGTCTTTGTACTAAGTGTGCAAAAGTCCAATGACTCCAATGAAATAGGCAAATTAAGTGTCTGTACGTCTGTAGAGATTCTCAATCATGCAGGTCATGGTTGTCCCAAAGGTGCTTTTTCAGGAGGCAACTGGACTTTGGGGTTTTTTTTTTCCTTTAAAGACTACTATCCTGTCAGAACTGAAAAAGCTTCTTGGATAAGAAGCGAAATGTCTTCAAAGAAAAAAAAATAAGAAAACCCAGTTGCCTCCTGAAAAAGAACCTTTGGGTCAACCATGACCTGGATGACTGAGACTCTCTTTAACTATATAATTTGGGAAGAACACCCTTTGAATGATGTGGGAATAGGAGTGGATTTCCAGAGGGAAAAAAAATTGCAGACTACAGGAACCAGGAACACTACTCAGGTGACCCTGAAGACACAGATAAACCTCCAGGTGCCTCAATGACTCTCTAAAAGAATGCAAATGACCAGCTGTCTGCAAGGAATATAAATCCTTCCATTCCCCACCATCCAGTCAGAATTGAAAAAGCTTCTTGGATGAGAAGTGAAAGTTTTTTCTTTCTTCAAAGAAAAAACAAAAAATTCCAGTTGCGTCCTAAAAAGCACCTTTGGGATAAGTGTCTGTAAATTTTCCCTTTCTGTTTTCCGCTTAGGACACTTTCTTCTCTGTATTATTCTACAGCTATGCTTTCATATTTCAGTAGGCCTTTTTTTTAAAACATTCACCTTTTCCTGCATTTCTTTCTCCTACTTCCTTACATTTTTCTAGTCATCATTTCCACATAAATTTCTGTATAACCTTTTGTGGTAACCTGCTATTTTTTTTTTCTTGAGCTAAAAGTCTGTGTAACTGTTTAATGTACAGCAGCTGAATTCATATAACGTGCTTAACAAAATCAGTCTGACTGTATTCGCATAGTTAACCTTAGCCTTGGCTTGTTTGTGTTACTGAATGAGTTGTGTTACACGTAGCCCTTGGGTTACAACAGCATTTGGAACCAGAATTTCTGTAGCTAAGCAATGTGGACATAAAGTGCCATGTCATGTGAACACATTGCTTAGCAACAGCAATCCCAGTAGCCCCAGTGCCCATCATAACCTTAGGACAATGGGGATAATTAAGTGGGAAGTGAGAAGATGCAGAAGTCCTACACAATCAAGCTGGTGGTTTCTGCCATGAGTTTGGGGGGCATGCCTGATGCATGTGGAAAGTGGGGCAGGGTGCCATAGGAGGGTCAGGGTGGGTGCTGTGGGTCAGTGCCATAGGAGGCAGTAATGCCATAGATAACTTCTATCAAGCATAGGTAGATGTGTGGGTGCCAAAGCAGAATGCCACAGGCAGGCACTAAGCATCACAGGTAGGCAAAAAAAGCAGCAAAAGTAATTTCCAACTTCCTGCCTGCTTCCCTATTGGTTTACTTGTGGAAAGCGGGCAGAGAATGTTGGAAATTGTGACCACAGGTCACTGTGACATTGTAATTGCAAATTGGGCACCACCGAGCTCCAACATGACCGCATGACCATGGGGATGCTGTGGTAGTTGAAACTCCCTCTTGTTCAGCATTATCATACAGTATCTTTGAACAATTGCCGAACAAGCCGTTATAACCCAATCAACCACCCCTTTTTCATACCGTTTATTTTCCCCCTGTACTGCCCTAGGTTTTACATATCCACGCAGATGAAGTAGCTCCAGCTAAAGAAGGCTGAGTAAGATGGCCTGAAATGCACCATGTTTACAAAATAAATCTGGGAGAACCCGAACAGACAGCTTGTCCTTCCTTTATTTTCAGTGAGCTTTCCCAAACATGATTAGGGTGGATGGAACACAGCATAATGTGATGATCAGTATCTAGGACTAGGCAGTTTCAAATCTTCTCTCAATCATGGCATTCTGAATTGACTTTGGGCCAGCCACTAATCCTTAGTTCATCCTCTCTCATTAAGTTCTTACTGTGTGGATAAAATAGGGAGACCCCCCTCCCACGTACATCAGTTAGAAGAACCGGAAGACAGGCTATCAAAGGGATGTCCTAATTCTCCCAAAGGCTATCTCTCTATAATACATTCCTGCTTCATCCATCCACGTAGAAACTCATTCATTTTAATGACTCAATATTTGTGGCCTGAAGTGATCTGGCAAAGACTGTCATTTGACAACCTGGATATTGGTTGTTCTTAAACTGCTTGCAAGTAGTCTTGCCTGGATGGGTATCTTGCATTGTAATTATACCCAGCTCAATGCTTTTTGTATTTTTGACTCCTACATATTTTAAGTAAAACAGCCAACTTATCACCAGCTGCTCAAAAAGATTAATTTTAAGAGTGGACTGATTTACACAGATGCAAAGTTAAAACCAAATACCGTTACCGCTTGCATTTCCTTAAGAACCCATCCAACTGTGGTTTACTCAGCAAACCATGGCTTAGTGGAATATAACTCAGCTACTTTTAATTGGTTTGCAGCGATTAAGCAGGACTAATGACACCTGATCCCAGAGTGATTAACATATTTGAACCTTAGGAGCTCATAACTTATATTCAGAGTACTGTACGTTTTGAGCCATTAGCTTCTCACAAAAAGGAGTCTGTACTCTGTGACTAAATGTGTTTCCTCTTCTTCTAAAATTCATGGCAATTTTAATTTCCAGGCATAGGCAGCAACCTGATGGTGCCCTGCTAATCAGTCATCTGACAGCTGAAGATGCTGGCTTCTTTACATGCATTGCTTCTAATGGCCGGGACCAAGATCAGAAAAAAGTTCAAATTAGACCTAGAGGTAGTGGTTGTTTTGGGGGTGGGGGGTGGCGAGGGAGTTTTACTTCAATGTTACTCAAATATAAGAAATGAATTTGCTGCTGGTGAAAAATGTGATCCTTTTTTTTGCTACTGTTGTTAAATTAAGCTTTAGTTGCTGATTAATATATCCAGTCTGGAGAGTGTGAACTATCTCAGCATATTTCCAGCAATTGAAACCTGGTGTCAAGAAGGAATTTAGTAAAAATTGTGCTTAAGATTACAGAACTATCTCTACACCAGGGGTGTCAAACTCAATTTCATTGAGGACTGTATTAGCGTTGTGTTTGACCTTGGGGGGCCGGGGGGGGGGCGGGCATGGCCAGGGCAGGCATGGTCAGCTTGATGTCACCCGTGTGGGGGGAACCTGTGGTGGCCCGAGCACTCTGCCAGTGAAAACAGGCTCCCGAGCTCCGTTTTCAGCTGCAATGGCTTCCTGCAACCTTCTGCCAGCATAAACAGTGCTTGGGAGTGCTGCCCGCAGCCCTCACGAGCTCCTTTTTCAGCTGCAATGGCCTCCTGCAACCCTCTGCCAGTGAAAACGGAGCTTGGGAGGGGCGCACACAGCCCTCACAAGCTCAGTTTTCACTGGCAGAGGCACCGCGGGCCAGTCCTTTGCTCTTTCCAGGGCAGTCCTGCAAGCCAGATCTAAGCAACCCGTAGGCTGGATCTGGTTCCTGGGCCTTGAGTTTCACACCCCTGCTCTACACAGTGGCTTCACAACTCCCTTTAGGTATGAGATCGGTTTACTTTCATCAATGGTACCATCAAATAATCCGAGTGAGATATTTATGGTTTCACATAAATTGTGCCAGGTTCAAGAAGTATAGAAAATTATTCAATACATTTAAAAAAAAAAAAAGTTTGGTGGCTATGGTTAAGATAATTCAAATTGGTTTAGGCTCCTAGTGGAAATATTGCTCTATGTTCTGTCCCCAACCACACGCACACACACCAACAGACGTTCAAGAGTTAAAGACCAAACCAGCCGGCAAAATCCTTTTCCTTATGATAACAGAACTTGGCAACAACCTAGTGGCTGCCTGCCAAGAGTTTATTATTTATGAAGAGGAGAGATAACTTCTCCCCACTTCTGATACATCAAAAGAAACAGCTCAATAATTATGGAGTTAATCAAGTCCAGAGATAATCCAGCAAAGTCTATAGCAAAAAGTCCGGCAATGCAGAATGGCGTGGAAGCTTTCAGCTTTGTTCGTCACAAGGTTTGACTGGCCACTACGCTCCCTTTTATATCCTGTGGGGTGTGGTCCAGTGACTCAGCCTAATCTCGGGCACGCCTTTTCTTCTGTTGCACGCGCTTATCTTTGCGATGCTGGCGTGGATCCAGCCAAGACTCATTACCCTCATCACTGTCCATCTGTGGCTGCATGGACATGCTTGGCCCCGGCCCTATCTCTTGCCCTTCGGCGGACACCGAAGGCATTGCCAGAGAGGAGGGTCCTGGAGAGGGAGGCCTTGCCAACTCCTCTCCTTCACTCTCGGAGTCCTCTCCTGCCAATGACACAGGCTCCGGTAATGGAGCCACAACACTCTAGAAACAAGAAAGGGGACCTCTGGAAAACACTGCTGCAGTGACTTTTGTGTGTCCGAGAGAGAATAAATGTAGGAGGGAGGTATAGTTACTGCTATGAAAATAGTTCAAACTTTTATCAGTGTAGGACAACCATCGAGAAGTACTTAACTGTAGCTGATTGGTTACACAATGTTTCTGTGTTGAATTCTATTGTGCATATCATGTTGAGATTTTTCTCCCACGTAGATGGTCTTTCAGCTAGAAAGACCAAGTTCACATGACCAGCAGGGCTATTCAATCAGAGCTGCATTTTCAGAATATAATTTGATGACCTCGGGCAACATCTTCCTGGAATTGATGACACTCTTTTCCTGCTTAGGAGACTTGAGAATTATTGACCTGCTGCCCAGGCTTTCAGTGTCTGAAGGGGAGAATGCTCATCTTCATTGTGTTGTGACAGGCAACAATGTAAACATAAGATGGTCAAGGTAAGAAAAAAAATCAGCTGTATTTACTTATCCCTTTAGTACTACTGAAACATGCAAGAAATTATCAAGCAACGACCATCTACTTGGAAGATGAATTTGGATTTAGTTTTTCAAACTCATTTGAAATAACCCTGTTTATTTCTGTGTTCCTTGGAAGACTCTGAATACTAACCCTCCCTTTATTTCCTTGTAACTGGGAGTTTGGGGACAGTGTACAGCAACTGCAAGACCGCTAATTATTTACTTCTGCTTAGAAATGGGGTTCCAGTAAGATCAGATGGTCATCGTATCCACGTGTCTCAAGATGGAAGCTTACTTCTAAACAATGTTCAGCTTGGTGATGAGGGCTCTTATACGTGCAATGCCTATAATGGCAATAATTCGGTCAGTGCCAGTACAGATGTGAAAGTCATCAAAAGGCAGCCAGAAGGTGGGTGTGCAGTTGTTTTTAAATTTCTTCTAATTTCCAACATTGGATTTCACAGCAGCTGCAACCTTAAATGTGTGGCATGTGCTTTTCCTTCCAGGACTGGAAATGTTTTCTGTTGTAGATCCTCTGTAGAAACACACCTGGTTGATTCTGTACATGAAGCATACTTCTGAGATTCTTTTTTATTTTAGAAGCTCATATTATATCTGATACTCTTTAATGAAAGCATGTGTGTATAGAAGGCAGAGTTGAAAGAGAAGTATTTGCATCTGGATGTGGTTAATGTCTCTGAAGACGAGATGGCACCTGCCTTCAAAGAAGCAGTAGTGTATGCTCTCTTGAAAAGGTCACATTTCAATTTATCCAAGTTGGGCAACTTCTGCCGTCCCCAACCTTCACTTTTTAGGGAATATGCTTGAGAAGGTGATGGGGGATCAGCTACAGCAGGGGTGTCAAATTCAAGGCCCGGGGGCTGGATCCAGCCCACGGGTAGTTAGATCTGGCCCACGGGGCCACCCTGGAAACAGCAAAGGACCGGCCCACGGTGCTTCTGCCAGCAAAAACAGATTCCTGAGCTCTGTTTTCACTGGCAGAGGGTTGCAGGAGGCCATAGCAGCCGAAAACAGAGCTCGGGAGCCCGTTTATGCTGGCAGATTGCTCAGGCCGCCACAGGCACCCCCAACAGGAGTGACGTCGAGCTGGCCACACACCTCCTAGCCATGCCCCCCCTCCCCGGGCCCACCAAAGTCAAACACAACCCTGATGCGGCTCTCAATGAAATCGAGTTTGACATGCCTGAGCTACAAAGCCAAAGAAGCAGATTTTCTAGATATCTTTCAGTCACTATCCATGCCTGGTCATATGAAGGGAAAAAAGCTGTGATGGATGTCTTGGATTCTTCCAGATGCTATTAATTTCTTGATGGGCATCAATACCATCAACCATGGCATCTTTATTGCATGCAATGGTTGGAGACGCAGTTGTGCAGTGGCCCCATTTCCACTTGAGCCATTAGTACCAACTAGTAATTGTTAGGGGAAAGCAGTTGAACCTGTAATTACTCCAAATTGCAGGGTTTGGTCCTCTTTCCTGTGGTTATCTATATGAAATCAGTTAAATTATTCATCAAAGTGGGGTTTGAGTTACATATGGCAAACCCAGCCAAGACTAGAGATGCTATGAGAGTCTGGAATTGAGAGTTACTGGATGTTGGGCAGTATATAAATATAATAAATTATTATTAATTGGTGCCTAAAATCTGACACTTCAATTGCTACTGCTGGTAAGGGAGTTGAAATCCAGCAGCTTGCCTCTGCATGCTTTCCTCCAAAGCGGTATTTTTTCATATAATCAGAAACATGAAATCATTAATGAGACAATCCAGTCCTTGTTATTTACAAAGAAATTCTATTACATTCAGATTACTTGGAAGACAATTTTAAGGTCAAAGGCTTTTAAACTATGCCAGTTCGACTTCAGGAATTACTAAACTGTAACTGCTGTTATAGTGCAGAGCATTTATTTTCAGCCTGAAACAGCTGTTTGCCATTTAAAGAATCTCTCAGCAGAAACCAATCAATTTTCTCTCAAAATGCATTAATGCTGATGTTGCCATTTGCTACTTTGAATGTTTGCCAAGATGTAGATTCCATTCACAGTATTTTTGCTTGAGCTGCAGCAGATAGAGAATATTTTCCACTGCATGCAGTTAAATAGCTGTAATGTAAATAACAAAAAGTGAACTCTCAATTGACACCTTGTTTGGTTCTATCTGACTTTCTTTCCTTCCTTCCTTAACTCTTCTAGTGCCAGCATCTCTCCCTGTGGACACAAGCAGGGAATGTGTTGATCAGCCACACCTTGCTAACTGTGATCTGATTCTACAGGCTCAGCTCTGCAACAATGAGTATTATTCCAGCTTCTGCTGTGCCAGCTGTTCTCGCCGCTATGGCTGAATCACAGGCTTGCTACCGCTCTTGCAATCCTGCTCCGGAAGAAAAGCACTCATCTCCAACCTGTTTATCAAGCATACACGGGTAGTCAATACAGCTAATGTGAGAACAGAGAGAACAGTTGGCAGAAATGGTTATCTCCACCTTCCTAAGCTGTATTTTGTTTTGCAAGAGAAACATCAAATCCTCTAACAGCTGGCTGACCTTTTCATTTAAGGAAACGGAGAATTGTTCCACTAGCAAAGCTTAACAATACAGACAAGAGTCAAAAGTAAGTAGGAAAGTTACTTCAAGAGAAATCAAGGATAGCCAACACATTTTAAATCAAACATAAAAGCTAAATTAGTGCCAGAACCCACAAAGAAAATCTGCTGACCATATTTTTTGTGGAAATTTAGTATACTGACCTAGAAACTTGTTTCCTGCAGTTATTTTAAATATCCCTGCAGTTCAAATTTAAACAGTTATAAGCAGACAATGGTTGTTTTTTTCAGCAGATACAGGAAACATTGCTGAGTTAACTACCAGCAGCAAATATCACTTAATATTTGTTGGAAATACGTAGAACTCGGAAGCATCTGAAGAGGAAAATGCATGGCAACGTGGCAGGGTTTTGTATTTCAAATACTCTTAAAACAGCAAGGCTGTATTTCTTGAAGTAAGTTCATTAAACAGTGATCCTCTCTTCTAATTAAACATGTATACAATTGTATTAAGGCCTTTGAAAAAGGAAACAAAGTCTGTTGTATTGCTTCTGCATAAACAAATACCAGAGACTGTGCAATTTGAGAAGTGGTGTTTGTTTCTAGAATCTCACGACTGCAGTCACGCAATCCCCAAAGAGATACCACTGCATTAATGAGTCATAGACAAGTACTGAATTTGCACTCCTATATGTTCCAAAGCACTGTGCAGCCCACCCCACTAGTGTACACAGCATCACAACAGAATTAATTGGTTGCCGATGCCTCAGAATTGTGGAAAGGTATGCCTTACCTTTTTCATTATCCCATCCCATGTGCCAGATTATTTAATACAAGGATGGCCATTGGCACTATAGAAGTTCTAACTGCAGTATCTATGCATTTTCAATCGCTGACTATAATCACATTCTATGGAGCAAGACTAGAAACATATCCCAAACCTGTATGTGTTAACTATAAGGTTGTCAGTTATTCACAATCTTACAGTGTGAATACTGTAAACTATTATAATTTCCTTTATATGCAAAAGAGAGGAAAAACATTGCTGGCACATCTGCAGTTTTTTCTTCACGATTCCTGCTATAGCTTTCGGTCCACTACTAAGGACTCAATTAATCTGAAACCTTCCCAGATTTTAGGTAGCTCAAGATCTCATTTCTTTTAGAAACAAAGTATATCTGTAATATAATACTACTTTTTTAATTTGCTTGCTAGAAAAACAAATATGAGAATCTGCCATATCTATGAGGTTTATACTAAGATACGCCGATCAGAATACATGAATGTTCCAATATCTGAGGGCAAATATGATTTTATAGTTGGGCTACTCCATTATAGATTTCAGATACATGAATAGCTATAACCAGATAATGAAAAACAAATCCCCCCAAACAAATCTATTTTTTAATTATCTGACTGTAAAATGGGACTATCTTCACTGAAAATGAGAAACCTATCAATTGCTCCTGTAAAAAATGAACAAACCAGTATTTACGGCACATTATGCAGAATGTTTAGTAACGGGAACAAGGCGATCTTCTGCATATTACCTACTGCGGAGTACCATATGAACTAGGTAATAAGTTTTTCAGCTTCTTCAATAAAGATGCAAATTAATTCAGTGTTAATATAATTTAACTGTAGCATCCAGACATATAGACAAACTGAGAGAACAAAACATGTTTGTATTTTCTTGCATTCAGAATTGATTTTTCATGGAAGGTACAAATATCATCTTATAAAAACCAGAGAAAAAGCATGCGGTATTCCCCCAACCGTAAATCATTCCAACTGTCATTTATAAACATAAGCAATTTCCTCAGGGAGTGAATTCATCAAAAACATTAATCCATTAATGGATTGAGAAGGTAACCTTGCAACAGGCAACCAACTTAAAACCAACTAATCAAGGAGAGAAGCAACATAGAAAAAGGAGAAATTTCTTGACAGAACAATTGATCAGTGGAACCACTTGCTTCCAGATGTTGTGAATGCTCCAACACTGGAAGTTTTTAAGAAGAGGTTGGACAACCATTTGTCTGAAATGGCATAGGGTTTCCTGCCTGGACTAGGAGACCTCCAAGCTCTCTTCCAATTCTGTTATTCTGTTAAAAAGGGCACTTGACCATCTTGAGGGCTAGCTTTTCAGAATAGAAAATTTGAGAATCAAAGCAAGTATGTTTTGGTGCTTTTAATGTTGGTATCTTAGAAGCTTAAATGGTGAAACTGGGTATGATGGTGTGATTAGGATGTTTGATTAGAACCAGGAAATACATGTCCATGTTCACCCTTAGCCATGGAAATTCACTAGATAAATTGGGCCAGGGACTTTTTCTCATGTCTTATTTCCCTGTTGCTTCTAAGAGATCAGGCTTTAAAGCATACTACGTATTTATGATCGAGGTCATCAACAGATGATATCAATAACTAAAAATCTTATCTTCCACGAACTGGTCAACCCCCTTTTAAACCATTCTAACTGGTGACTTTTAGCCCAGCTGCTGACAATAAAATCCAGTTTAACTACACAGTGTGCACAATTATTAGGCCAAGTTGTATTCGGAGGATTAATTTTATTATTAGAACTACTACAGTATTCTCAGTCGATCCAAAATGTTAATAAACCTCAAACCTGAATATTTAAGAAAGTAAAAGTGAGGTTTGGGCTTTCTTGGGAGACTATGTGTGCACAGTTATTGGGCAATGATTAGTGTGCAGAATTATTATGCAACTAAACTAAAAATGAAAATTTGCCCATTTTGTTTATTTGCATCTGTTAAAGTGAGAATAATTTAAAAAAAAAACTCAAAATGTACAAATATTTCTGACATTTCAAAACAAAAAATCAGTGACCAATATAGCCACCCTTTTCAATAAGTCATAAGCCTTCCATTCAGGGAGTCTGTCAGTTTCTTGATCTGTTGACGGTCAACTTTTTGTGCAGCAGCAACCACAGCCTCCCAGACACTGTTCAGAGAGGTGCACTGTTTTCCTTCACTGTAAATCTCCCATTTAAGAAGGGCCCACAGGTTCTCAATAGAGTTTAAGTTAGGTGAGGAAGGGGCCCATGTCATTATTCTGTCATCTTTAAGGCCTTTACTAGCTAGCCACGCAGTAGAGTACTTAGATGCATGCATTGGAGCATTATCCTGCATAAAAATCATGGACTTCTTGAAATATGAAGACTTTTTCTTGTACCACTGCTTGAAAAAAGTGTCTTCTAGAAACTGGCAGTAGGTTTGGGAGTTGATTTTGAGTCCATTTTTCAATCCAAAAAGATCCAACTAGGTCATCTTTAATAATATCAGCCTATTCCAGTATCCCACCTCCACTTTGCTGGCATCTGAGTCCAAGTGGAGCTCTGTGCCTGTAACTGATCCAGCCAAGGGCCCATCCATCTAGTCACTCTCATCTCATCACTCCATAAAACTTTTGAAAAATCTGTCTTGAGATATTTCTTGGCCCATTCTTGCCTTTACAACTTATGGGTCTTGTTCAGTGGTGGTCAGGTTTCAGCTTTCTTTACCATGGCCATGTCTCTGAGCACTGAACACCTTGTACTTCTGGGCACTCCAGGTAGGTTTCAGTTCTGGAATATGACAGCACTGGAGGATAATGGGTTCCTGGTAGCTTCATGCTTGATTCTTCTCAACTCTTTGACAGTTAAGGTGTGTCTTTTTTCTCAACACGTTTCTTGCGAACCTATTTTAAACAAAACTTTTGATGGTTCTGTAATCTCACCCCAATATCTTGGCAATTTCAAGAGTGCTGCATCCCTCTGAAAGACTTTTTACAATTTTTGTCTTTTCAGAGACAGTTAAATCTCTTTTTTGGCCCATTTTGCCTGAAAAAAGCAGCTGCCTAGTAATTATGCACACCTTGACATAGGGTGTTGATCTCCTTAGGCCACACGCTCCCTCATTACACAAATACACATCATCTTATCATCAATGCTTATATTCACTATGCATTCAAGTTTATACAGCTTGGAGGTGGAAAATATGCATAAAAATGATATGGTCAAAATACTCACTTGCCTAATAATTGTGCACAGTGTATGTGCTGTGTGAAAAAGTTCTGAGTCTCCCTATATTTTATATAAATGGAATGATCTGAAGCAAAGGAAAACATTTCTCTACATTATCCACACCATGAATTACATTATAAATTATACATTATTACTGCTCCATTTCTGTATGTTTTTAAATTATACAATATCAAGCTTCTAGTATAGTGACCAGAACAGTACGCAATGCTCTTATTTCACAACAAGTACATGTACTTAACACTCCAAATCAGTTAAAGAGAATCGGTCACAAGATGATTCCTAAGGATCCCATTATATACCTCTCAGCAATGTGAAAATTACCAGTTTATTTTTCCTTCAATCTTTCCCCTATTGCAAATCCAACTAAAAATCTCCATGGCAGCTGAGTGGACAATCTCATCAAAATTTTTGGTGAGGCAAGATTGCTTTTGCAGAGGCCATGCTGATTAGTTTACAGCAAGGCTCCATTCCTCTATGCATTTAAATGGTATTTTCAATTATTTTTCTTGGAGCAGAAGTTAAAGGAAATTAAAGATCAGGTGCAGTGCCTATAAAAAGTCTACACACCCCTGTTAAAATGCCAGATTTTTGATATGTAAAAGAAGTCAGACCAAGATAAACCAAATTCAGAATTTTTTCCACCTTTAATATAACATATAAGCCATACAATTCAATGGAAAAACAAACTGAAATCTTTTAGGGTGAAAAATAATAATAAAAACATACAATAACATGGTTGCACAAATATGCACACCCTCTAATACAGAGGTCTTCAAGCTTGGCAGCTTTAAGACTTGTGGACTTCAACTCCCAGAATTCTCCAGCCAGCTATGGAGTTGGCTTCAAATTGTGGAGTTGAAGTCCACAAGTCTTAAACCAGCCAAGTTCGAAGACCTCTGCTTTAATAAGTAGGGCTGTGCCTGTGTTCAGAATTAACCAATCACATTCAAATTAATGGTAATTGGTAGTCAATAAACACCTGCCATCAATTAAAGTGCCTCTGATCAAGCCCATATAAAGTTCAGCTGTTCTAGTAGGATTTTTCTCAGTTGCCTCTTACAGCAAAAGCCATGGATTGCAAAGAGCTTACAAAGCATCAAAGGGATCTCATTGTTGAAAGGTATCAGGAGACGGGTACCAAAAAATTTCCAAGGTGTTGGATATACCATGGAACACAGTGAAGACAGTCATCAACCACTGGAGAAAATATGGCACAACAATGATATTACCAAGAACTGGTTGTCCCTCTAAAACTCATGAAAAAAACTAGTCTGAGAGGCTGCTAAGCAACAGCCTACAGCAACAGTAAAGAAGCTGCAGGAATTTCTGACTAATACTGGTTGTGTATTACATATAACAATTTCCTGTATTCTTCATGTCTGGGGTGTGGGGTAAGGTGGCAAAATGGATGCCTTTTTTTAGAAAGAAAAGCATCCAAGCCCGGCTACATTTTACAAAAACCTACATCAAATGTGACAAAGGCATGTTGGAAATTGTGTTATGGTCTGATGAGACCAAGACTGAAATTTTTGG